TCCTGTTGGACCTGGTCAAACCTCGGTTCCAGATGGTATAACGATACCTGCAGGTAGTGGGAGTGTAGTAATTCCCGTTGGACCTGGTCAAACCTCGGTTCCAGATGGTATAACAATACCTGCAGGTAGTGGTAGTGTAATCATTCCTGTCGGGACCGGTCAAACCTCTGTTCCAGATGGTATAACGATACCTGTAGGTAGTGGGAGTATAATCATCCCAGTTGGGCCTGGTGAAACATCAGTTCCACCAAATGGAGTGACTGTACCCGTGGATAGTGGGAGTGTATCTATTCCCGTCGGGCCTGGTCAGACCTCGGTTCCGCCAAACGGTGTGACTGTGCCTGTGGGTGGTGGGAGTGTGACCATTCCCGTCGGGTCTGGTGAAACATCAGTTCTATCCGGTGTCAACCCACCTGGATCACAACCAGCTGGTACAGCAGGAACAGCACCAGGGCAGCAAACTGAGCCAGGGCAACAAACCCAGACAGCACAACAGACTCAACCTGCATCGCAGCCAGTTGGGACAGGAGGAACAGCACCTGGGCAGCAAACACAGCCAGTTCAACAGACTCAACCCGGATCACAACCAGTCGGCACAGGAGGAACAGCACCAGGGCAGCAAACACAGGTAGTGCAACAGACTCAACCTAGTCAGTCTCAACCAACTCAGTCCATTCAGCTAGGTCAAGGAACCCAACCGATTGTAAATTCTCCGACACAAGTATCCATTCAAACTCCTGCTCCATCGGCAAGCATAACTGGCGGTGGAGACTCGTCTCAAAATGCTCTGTCAGTGGCTGGTGCTTCGCCTACTACGACCGAGGTCGTGTCCGAAAGTACTACTCCTGCACCAGCTCCTATCATTATCGGATCCCAGACTGTGACAAAAGGGTCCGATTCAGCCTTTATAATCGGGTCACAAACGCTTTCGCCGGGATCTTCTATCACGGTTGATGGGCAGCAAATTTCTATGGCCTCTGATGGAAACGCAATTATTGTCAACGGTGCGACCGAAACACCACCAGCTTCAACTGCTCCAGCAGTGGTTGTTGTCGACGGCTCTAGTATCACCGCAAACTCCAACTCCGGCTTCGTAATCGGAAGTCAAACCCTAACCCCAGGAGGTGCAATTACTATCAGTGGCCAAGTGATTACTCTCCCAGCAGCCACACCAAGCGTCTCCAAGGCAGGCTTCGTGATCGGCTCCTCTACCTTCACCCAGGACGCAAACTCCAACTTAGTAATCGGATCAAAAACCATAACTCCTGGGGGGGTAGCTACCATTGATGGAGAAACCATCTCAGTTGCCAGCTCGGGCGGCGCTGTCATTATCAATGGCCAGCCCAAGCAATCAACCGCATCCGTAATCAACCAGCCACCCATCACCAGCGTCGTTATCGCAGGACAGACTCTCACAGCAGGCGGCAAAATAACTATCGGCGGAGACGTGCTCTCTCTTGCCCCCTCTGGGACCGGAATTTTAGTTATCGGCACCGTAACCATGGGTGGCGGCGAAAGCACCGCGACTGCGACTGGCAAGAAGAAGAAGAACGCGGCTGGCAGAAGTGCCACGAGCGCTTGGGGAATGGGATGTATCACTATGCATATTTCGTTTGTTCTAATAGCCTTTTGGCTGCATTGAAACGAAAGTCGATCCCGGAAAAGGCGACTGTGGGGTTTATTTTGCATTGGGAGGGCGTTTACTAACTTACATATATGTTCCTTTTTTATACCCACTGTGAATATGTAGGACAATACCTATAGATAATTCTTGTATATAAAACTTAGACCTTAAATTACTAAATCTATTACATTGTATATAATTTATATATTCTTTCTGCATTCTTGATTGTGAACAGAATGTTTCGGACGATATGGATGTTCTCCTGAAGGAGATGCTTAGAGGCATTTCTTCCAAAAAGAGAAGTATTTTCCAGAAATCTACCATGAACTACTTATAACCGACTAATGGAATAGCAAGGAGTCACATAAATCACTCGGTCGGGAATTAACGACCCGGAAGGATCAAAGGTATACGAATTTACGAAGTATAATGATACGAGTCACGGGTGAGATATTGATATTGATGGGCCTAGAATATGACTTAGCTTATCCAAGCGCAAGGGTATAGAGAATCCCACACCCGTACGCATCTACTTTGATGTCGTCCCGTCAAGCATCTTTCTTCCTCTTGGCAGCATTACCCTCCCCCATCGCCGCAGCTACATCCTCAATCGTAAGCCCCCTCTTCCTCCTCTCAGTCTTCTCTTCCCCCAACACAGAATCATCCGCAACACTCTCGTATACTTTTGCTATCTCGTTAAACAGCCCCTTTCCAGCAGACTCAAACCCCCCATCTTCCTCGTGCGCGGCCGATATCTCTTCCACTGTCGTCAAGCAAGTTAAGTTAGCCAGCCGTCTTCCTTTCTTCCTTCTTTGAAGTTCTTTCCTTCCTTCGGTCAAGACAAGCAAGGGAAACCAGAACTTACTCTCCTTGACCCATCGATAAGCCTTAGGTGGCATACTAGTAACGCCATACCTAGCAGTCTTCAGTGAAGCCGGGAACTTCTCCTCCATCTCCTCGATCAAGGCCGGCAGCACGCCCAGATTAGACGCCGTAGTAAAGGCCTGAATACAGAGCGCCGTAAAGCCTTTCGTCACCGTAGCAAAGCAGCATTTCAGCCCACTCGCTATCCCCACATCTTCAGAAATATGCTTGAAGTTCAGCGTCTCGGCTAGTTGGGCAAAGGAAGCTGGGACCGAGGCGACGGAGCCGGAGATGGGGATGCTGGGCTGAGACCACGTGAGTGAGGTTTTGGGGTGCTGGCGAGCTTCGGTTGTGCTTGGTGTAGGGGTGAGTTTCTGGGTGGGTGCGCTGCCTATGATGCAGCCATCGAGGAAGGTGATGGCGGGTGCTTTGGTCGAGAAGATCTCGCCGATGGAGCGCGCGCTGCGGGGCGAAACGGCGTTTAGGTCGAGGAAGTAGAGGGGGGTTTTCTTGGGGGTGGAGAGGCTGGTGAAGGCGGTGCTGATGCGCGTTGCGATTGAGACTGCGTCTCGTGGGGGGACGATGGAGAGGATGTAGTCGGATTCTGTGATGAGGGAGAGGTCGGAGGGGAGGGCTTCAATGGATGCTCTTTCAGCTCGTGCGTGAGTGTCTTGGCTGCAACAGGTTTGGTAAGAATGTATTTCCAATAGAATGAACCGTTGGATTTGACTCGTAATTCATAAGTGAAGTGAACTAGAGATATTTGTTCCCCAATTGCAAATTGTAGCTTCATGCCCCACTTTTGGATACTTGAAAGGGGAAATGTAGCTTCACAACCGTACTACTTTTGTTTGATAAAAATGAAGTGAAACTCTATCCAGAACTTTCAGAATAGACACTATAGCACGCAAAACTTGAATTCAAATCAAAGCAAAAGATATTTCAACATGCACGCCTACCTTCGACCTTCTAAATTCGTTACCACGCGATAGTTATGAGCAACAAGAAGCTTGGCAATCCCCATTCCCATCTCCCCAATAGACAGAATCGCTACGGTTGCTAGAGGAACCATTTTCGTGTTTCAGTGTCCAAGCTTGATGAAGTGAAAATCGATGATAAAGGCAACGGATGCGGAATGGGAGGTCGAAGTGACATCCGAGATATGTTGGGTTAACCTTCTATGAAAATAAAGTTCGAACTATGTGGGGATCGATCTTTATATAGCGTGATCGTTCTAATATGTTAATAAGCTTTCACACGCTAAACTGTGAACCGCGGTTGGTAATACATATATAAACCTTGTGATATTTGTTGCGTAGCAATCCTTGCAAACACATCATCCTTTCATAGACGAAGCATGACACGTCATCTTGTCGATCATTTATTATCTGTTGGCTGACAATCTTTGCAGATATGTTCGGAGTTCAAGTCTCTGAGGAATCAAGTATTACTTTAAGTAAACATCAGTATATCACATGATCTGTGCACATTTTTTGTATGTCACATGGCTCACCCCCAATTCCCAGTTACCTCGAATTCAGCGGTGTTTATCCAAATTAGTAAAGGAATAGTGGTTTACCATCGCCTCTATGTTTGAAAAGTGGTGTTTTCACTTTAGCGTTCGTATCTACGGAGGTATATTAGAAGATGTATCGCAACTGTTTCCGTAAGCGGGGCAATATGACTGAACATGTACTAGTACTCTCCACTTCTAATCCTTCCAAGATTTGGATGCTCGGGATGCTAGTAATTTACAAGTACTCCGTAAGTTACTAGGTGCTTTAGTCTCCGGCGGGAAAAAGACCGAGGCTTTTCTGGAATCGAGATTTGAGAGATATATATAGATTTAAACAACTGGCATCGGAATAGATGCCGCTTGGTTGTATTCGGAGCAACCATTTCTCCGCAATAGTATAGTCTCCCGAGGAGTTCGGGCTTTTAAAGTAGAAAGTCGGGGTACCTAGTAATACTCTATAGTCCATGCGACGTGTCATAATATATGACCGAGTTTCCAGATTCGGGTAAAGCCCTTGAAGAATGAGGGGAGGGGAGGGGAGGAGGGAGGTAAGGAGGGAAAATTAAGCGATGCGAGGTGTGGCTTGAGCTAGAGGCTTGAGGCTTGAGACTTGAGAGATGTGATACAACCTTAATTATTGTACTGTAGAAGTGGGCGGGATGCTTAAAGTGGCATGCCATGCGATCAGGCCTGCATTATACTCATAGCTCGAGGTACTTAGGTGCTCCGGCGGACAACTCTCTTTCCTTAATCTTTACCATTTAGCTTGTACTTGTACCTGGACAAATCTCTGCGAGATCATAATATAACTGATATATTCATTTCAACAGTATCCACTCCGCTTCGTCCCCTTCTATTCACTTTGCGCCTCTGAAACTTGCCACGATTTAAGACAAAGCACTCCTCGACTTCAACAACACCACGAGCATTGCATTTGGCTTCGCAAGAACAGATGCGCATTATCGGCACTCTACATCCCGACAACGCGCGTGCTCGCATCGATTCTCTTGCACAGCTCTAGCCAGTCGGGCCAATACAGATTCCGAGTTTGCGACAATCACCAACTTGCACAACCACTCAGTGGCTTTACGGATACGGAGTACGTACTCACTACACACACAAGATCTATTACTAAGCATCCATAGAAGTCCGTCTACATAAAGTGGTCAAGCAGGACCAGTATATCGAAATTTCTGCCCCAAACCCTAAACTTCATAAACTCGCAATGTCTACTGTTCCTATCAAGGCCATCGCGGCTGTGTCGGCCGTCGCAACATACATTCTCGTTGAAAAGCAGCCTGAATTACTCCTATTTTCAAGGCCGAGCTACCTAGGAACCTTCTCACAGTTGTGCACTGTTGGTTTTATGATCTTTGCCATTTGGAGAGTCATATTATGGCCGAAATTCGTCTCCCCACTGAGGCACCTTCCCGGCCCCAGCGGAGGTAGCTGGTGGAATGGGCAATTCCCAGATATCTTGGCGAGGCCAACGGGAGTTCCGATGATTGAATGGTAAATCTAAAACATCTTCCAGGTACACAAAGTCCTCCTAACGTCTATCTACAGGATCAACTCAGTACCAAATGAAGGTCTTATTCGCTATCTAGGGCTCTTGAACGCGGAACGCCTAATTATTGCTTCTCCAAAAGCACTCGGCGAAGTCCTCGTGGCGAAAAACTATGATTTTGTAAAGCCCACTCATGTTACAGCTGGCCTTGGGCGATTGCTTGGAGTCGGGGTTCTATTGGCCGAAGGAGACGAGCATAAGTTCCAAAGAAAGAATCTGGCGCCAGCATTCTCATTCAGGCACACCAAAGACTTATATCCAGTGTTCTGGAACAAGTCCAGAGAGGTTGTACAAAAGATGACCGAGAAAGTGAAATCTGGCGGTGATGCATTACGACCAGACTCCAAAGACCCCAAAGACTTGGAGAAGAGCCCTGTGTCCGACGGAACACCCGTTCTTGAAGTAGGCGGCTGGGCAGGAAGAGTTACTCTTGACATTATTGGAGTTGCTGGGATGGGCCAAGATTTTGGTGCCATTCAAAATCCCAATAATCTTCTCAGTGTCACCTACCAGAAGATTTTTAGACCGACAAAATCAGCTGCAATTTTGGCGTTGGCCGGTCTGCTTCTCCCGACCTGGTTTGTGAAGGCATTGCCCGTGAAAAGGAACGAAGATCTGAATCAGGCCGCGGGGGTGATTAGGGATACCTGCAGGCAGCTCATTCGCTCGAAAAAAGAGAAGCTCGAAAAGGGAGAGTTGCACGACCTCGATATACTGAGTGTTGCTCTAGAAAGCGGGGGATTTACGGATGAAAACCTGGTTGATCAGCTTATGACTTTCTTAGCCGCTGGCCATGAAACCACAGCAACAGCAATGACTTGGGCGGTTTACATGCTCTGTTTGAACCCAGAAATGCAAACTCGCCTTCGAGCTGAGATCCGAGATCATCTTCCAAGCATCGAAAACGACTCGACTGTAACTAGTCAACAGATCGATCACATGCCATACCTCAACGCTGTCTGCAACGAATTACTGCGCTACTACGCTCCGGTACCTCTTACCCCCCGAATCGCCGTACGGGAAACCACTATCATCGGCCAGAAAGTTCCTAAAGGTACACAAGTTATGCTCATCCCCTGGGCCGTCAACAAAGCCGAAAATCTCTGGGGCCCCGATGCTGGGAAGTTCAACCCGGACCGCTGGCTTCCGTCCGACGAGAACCCTCAGAGTGCCAACGGCGGAGCACCGAGCGCTTACTCCCTCCTTACTTTCTTGCATGGGCCGAGAAGTTGTATCGGGCAAAGTTTTGCCAAGGCGGAGTTCGCGTGCTTACTGGCTGCTTGGATTGGACGTTTTGAATTTACACTTTGGGATGAGAATGAAAGGGACGAGGTGAATATCAAGATTAAGGGGGGCGTCACGGCTAGACCTGCCAATGGGATGTATGTTAAGACCAAGGTGGTAGATGGATGGTAAGGCGTTGGATGAATGCCGGGAATGCTGGGTATGATTGGAATGCGGAGTTAGGCCTGTAAAATAGACGAAATGCGATGATGACATTACTTAGGGGCTGCGTTCTCGAATGAGCTACAAAGGAGATTTTATTCTATACATGAAGGTAGTCGTATCTATGTTGTGCTACCTTGCCCTCTGACTCCTTATATTTGAGTCCTGTTCTAAGGCCAACAAAGTGCATACTTGAGAGATACACATTGTGAGTTACCACTAAAATAACTTCTGTCGATATGTAAGTATCCTGTTACTGCTAAACTTCAGAAAAGCTCTTGCCTAATCGAAAAACTAATGTTGGGGAAGGAGCGCCCCAAGAGAAGTCGAAGTAGTTAGGCAAGTGTCAATGAAATGATGCCTCGTGTGGATGCGATCTATTTATTGAGCATTGAATCAACTCCAGCGCATACCATTCTTCAATATCAACATATAAATTTCTATTAATAAATTCCGAAAGACTACCGGTAAAGAGATCGTTGATATCAGACATAAGGACAATCGCTACCGCTCTACTGTTCTATTACTTGGGGATAGAAAAACTTCGAATCTTCCCCTGGGGAATTCACCGCATCAGTACCTCATTTTACTGGCCGTTCTGCAGCTCCTCTTCAGAAGAGAAGATGCAGAATATTCTACTGTAAACCACTTCCGTCAACGCGCACAAAAGTGAATATACTCAAGCTGAACCTTTCTTCCTTGAAACACAACTACCCCTTCCTGGCAAGAAACCTTGTGAGGAATAGAAATCACTACGACTTGCTCTGATATCGAGGCAATAGTGTACGACGCACCTTGCTCTTCGGAAAGCCTTTAAACGCCCTTCGCGACATCCAGTCAATTCATTTGGTTTGGAATCAAGCCTCACTCGCTGTGAATCATTTTGGAAGTGATGACAGTCACAAAGCCATTTGAGCTCATTCATCATCAAGCGCTCCACTGACCCAAATCTCCACCAACTCCAACTCCTTTCTCAATACCCTTAGATAGCAAATCATATCAAATATTCAGAACTCAACCACAACAATGTCTAACGCCGAGAAGATCGTCGACAGCATCGAGATCGATGCCGGTAAACTTAAAGCCAACCCCTACAGGGCGTCAAAATCCAAAACTGGAACATCCTCCAATTCGTACAAGGCGACCCCCACCACCAAGCGTACCCCCAAGAGCTCTCCCGAAGCGAGTTCTCCTACTTCAAAACGCACTCGAGCCAACTCATCGTCGGCGTCAACAGACACCCCATCCGCGAAGCGTAGTGGTCATGTCAGGACAAAATTGGTAGCGAATCCTGAAGATGCCAGCCCGATAAACTCACCGGAACTTGTTACTCCACCACTAGAGGAAGATCAGAAGACTCCATCCATGGCTCTCTTCCAGAGCAGCCCTTTTGAGGTGCCACCATCAAGCACATTCACTCCTCGCAAGTCGGATCAGAAGAGGCCGAATTTGTCAACTTTTGACGATGTATTCGGCAAGAGTCCCATTACCCCTGGTCAATCTCCGAGAGGCATCAAGAATGAAGACGTTGCCGACTTTCTCAATCCTCGCAACTACCAGGCAGCGGATTTCGGCTATCTTGAGATTGGTGCAGAAAAGCACAAGGACTGGACTCCTCTTACCATTCATACTGCAAAGTGTGATGGTTGTAGCAAGCAGAACAAATCCGTCCTTCAGAGATGTGGACGGTGTAACAAGCAACTCTGCAAGGAATGCATCTTCAATACCACAGGGGAGGCTATGGAGGGTCATGAAGTCAACCCGACTATGCTGGACTGGAATCCTCCGAAAGTAAAGCGAACTCCAAAGGTCATGCCTAAGGCGAAACGCACAATTACGTCCCGACGAGGTAACCAATTTGAAGATGCTCCTTATGACGATAAACCTCGACGCCCACAGGCCAAGAAGCGTAAGCTGGAGTCTAAAGAGACAGGTATGTTGTTTGTTCAAACATTTCGAGGCACCCAATGTACATTCGATTGTCTCGGGTTTTTAAAAGAGGTTCCCAGACTCAACGCTGACTCTGAGATTCACAGGCCAAACTACCGAGCCAAGAAAGAAGCAACGCACCACTGAGGATACTATTTCAGTATCTGATGACAGCTATGATGATCGTGACATGGGTGATGAGGAGTTTTCCCAAAAGTACGACGACTACCGTCGTAAAAAGAACTGGGATCAAGAAGACGAGATGGATTATTCTATGAGCGTCGAGCGTCTTGGCAATCTCTGTGATAAAGACCACCAGCGATTTCGAAATGGAAATCAGGGACCTGCTAAACTCGCAGATGTCCCAGAGACTGCTGGACATGTGTGGGGTGCTGCACGTCCTTTGCCAAAGCATGTTGGTGCTGCCGCTTTCCCGAAGAACGATGCCAGACCCGGGATTATGGTAGATCACATCAAGGGTGACAGTGGTGATAGTCTGGATGAGCTTTTCACCATTGCAGCCAGGGCAAGTGATGACAAGGCCCGGGTGGCCGAAAAGAATAGGCTGGAGCAGAAGCTGCAGTATGAGATGTTCAAGGTTCGGCAGACAAACCCCGATTACAAAAGGCTGGTAGAGGAGGGCAGGAAAGATGAGGCGGACGAAATGATTGTTGGTGCAGCAAATCTTATTCGCATTCGTCACGAATTGTGAGAGTCTCTGGTCGCTTTCCTAGTACCGATATCAATATATCGCCCGACAGGGTTGCACTACTATACATGTTTTTCAGCACTCGCAATACCCGATATCAACTACGCCACAACGCTTGTACAAGTATAATACCGCATGACGCTTTCCAGATTTTCCTTTCGACTTCCCTGGCTCAGAGAAGATACCTAGGCGACGAGGAGCTTTCATGGAAGATCCGATTGAACAATATTGCTCTGCACAAAGGTGCGGAAGGATGTCAGAGTACAAATCGATTCCCTGCAACTATACTTCCAGCGCCTTGGCTGAATATATCGTGGAGGACATTTGGTACTGGTACTGGATGGGGGTTTCTTTCTGCGAGACTTTGACACGACACGAATACACTTGTGTTGAGTTTAAGCTGCTTCTGAACTTCTCCCTGCTAAACGGCACCAAAAACACAACCGGTCTTTTCATAGCACGCGCGTTCTACTCGGCCATCTTTTAGAACACTCTGAGGGTACGGTACCATATTCGCGTTGCGTTTTAATAGCTGCTTCTCAGGCATTGCATTGTCTAGAGAAAGAAGCAGAGATAATACAGCGAGATTCATTTATACTATACTTGGGACATTGACAATCAATGTATAATATGCATATCCATCGTGACGAAGTTATTGCTGTAGAAGCTCCACTTGGAGCGTCAATTCATTACAATTTCCCACGTAACGTAGCATAACTCGGCGCACCGGAGCTGAGCTTTAAAAATCTGTAACTATTCATGCGTGTACTTTACTTTACCTTTTCAACACCACCCTAGACTAGACGCATCTTGCATAGAATACAGTATTCATAAGTAAGCAAAGCGCGTCTATATAGTATTGTAACACATTTCAGATAGAAGGAATTATGCTTCTGATTCACCATATGTCGAAAGTGAATATTATATCAGTGCTAAGATCTGGCGGATATCTTCTGAGAGTCTGAAGATGAAAGTTGGAAGGGCGAAAGACTTCCTAGGCCTACTTTTCGTGTGTTGATTCGCATATAGTTAGACTATATCGTGTTTCATTATAAAGTTACGCGTGATCGAGTAGCGTAATGGAGCTTGAGATTAAGGGGAGGTTATGTTGAAAGGGGAAGGGAAGACCGTAGGCTGGGTGTTGGTGTGAAGAGGTTTGGAAGAGGAGAGAGGATGGGAAGGGGTTGTGAGGGGATGAGAGAGGTGGGAGAGAGTCTGGCTGAAGAGTAGATGGGTTTGAGTTTGAGTTGGACCTTGTGGGTTATTACAATAGTTGGAGGACCGGAAGTGAAGTGAGGTGGGGCGGGGCACAGAAATGTAGGTGCAGGACGGACCGTCCCAGCGCGGCGTGGCTCCCGCATCTCTCTATAAAAATCAGCTGTAAAAGCCATTTCAGTGATTGATTACTGCATTGAATGGATATAATGACGGGTAGAAGATATAAGACAATATATATATATATATATATTTGTATATGTGGTGTTGGGTCTGAGGAAGGAACTTACTAATGGAGATGAAGATTCATTACAGAGAGAAGGTGGTTGGATTGCGTTGAAGCATGTGATGATGATGACGGCTGCGATGCGGCGCCATCCAAAAGGGGAGAGTGTCGACCCCGAATCCGGACTAGCATGGACTATAAGCCCCCCCCCTCGGATTCCTAATTTCGTCTTTCGCCAGTCTTCTGATTTCTCAACCTTGTTGATGCCCGACAAGACTGCCTCCTATCCCTTTTATTTTTATTTTAAATTTTCTTTGTCCCACATGCCAGATCTTGGAAAGCTTCACCTAATCTCGCGGCTGAGAGAAACATGAATGAAACCTGCCCCCGGTTCCTAGGGCTATGGAACTTCTAGAAGCCGAGAGTGAGCAGTTGATTCCATATCTTATTGGTCTGTTTTCATGATATGAGTGAGTGTCGCAGTCGAGAGTATAGTCAGCACTTCGGGGTGGGATGGATGGCTGCAATAGAAGTTCTACTGCAGAACTCTCGGCAGGCGCTAATCGGTATCTCTGGGATTTCGATGCAGGAGAAGTACCTACCTACCGGTAGATACGATCCCTAATTTATTCCCTAATTTATTCCCTAATTTATTCCCTAATTTATTCCACCAGAAGAATTGGTCTTCGGCGTGGTCTCGAGTTCAAGACCCCGGAGTCCATAGGGCATCATCTACCGCATTGTTACTCCTCTTGGGTTAGAGACCGTGTCTTCTTAAGCCGCCGATTCTATCCAAAGCTTGCATCTACCTCATAGTTGGCTCTGGATCGATCAATCCAGGTCCCATCTCATTTACCGATAGAAAACTCCAAATGTCCTGCATGTTCTGCTTCATTTTAAGATTTTTAAAGTTTTAATGTATCGAATAAACATGGTTCTCTAGACAAATAGAGATCGATGCCATCTCTAAGTCGTCAGGTTTTGGCCGTTCGGAAGTACTCGTCCTCGCTTCTCATTTCCATTGGTGGTGGAGAAGTCTCTGTCTCTCAAAACCATGCTATGCAGGGTATTCGACATCTGATGAAGTGGAATGATTGGGATTGCGGTAGGTGCAATTAACTTAAAGACTATTGCTTGTCCTCTTCACACTTTCATGCGGTTCTATTCGTGTGGCGGCGTCTTTTTCAACTGTTATGAGTGTATACACGATCACGATCCTTTCAATCTGGCCAACATGGGCGAAAACCGAGGACCAGAACTTGGTGGGTGTCTCAGGTCAAATGGTTATTTCTGGGCAGGGCTGATCTCGAGTTAGCGGCTGTCTTTGGCTTGTTCTTGGGACTCACCTGGCTGTTTGTTGCACTTAGGGTTTATGTCAAGTCATTCTTGTCCAAAAGCTGGGGAGCTGACGACTATCTCCTCATTATTTCTTTGGTATGTCTAATTTTTACCCTCATGGAATATTGGTTCTAATAACCATTACTTAGATGCTGTTTACTTCATACTCTGCTTGTTCTCTCTCAGGAATAAGACACGGCACCGGCAAACATACATTCGACATTTTGCCACAAGATATCCCAAAGGCAATGTTTATCTGGTGGCTCTGCGAGCTTTTGTACACCATCAGCCTGGTCTTCGTTCGTCTCTCGATTGCCGTTTTCCTTCTGCGGATATGTGTCAAGACCGTTCACAAGATCATCATTTACGCAACTCTCGCCATGATGCTGGCCTACTCAATCTTCTACTTCTTCCTCATCATCTTCCAATGCTCTCCAGTTTCGTTCTTCTGGGGCCAGTATGAAAGCATGGATGGTGCGTGCATCAATCCTGCCATAATACCTGATGCCAGCGTTACCCATAGCGTGGTCAACTTCACAGCAGACTGGTAGGCTTATCTCAAATAGGAAGCTGATTCCTCTATGGGGATTGAGGAGCTGGGGGTTATTTTAGGAGCCCATATGTCGGCTCCCGGGACTCTTTGGCTCTCTCCAAACACTTAACTCTTACTATGCTGACTCGCCGAGCCAGGATCTTGGGTCTCCTACCCATCGCCTTAATGTGGAATCTACAGATGAACACCAGAACCAAAACATCCGTTGCCGCAATTCTATCTTTAGGTTTGCTGTTCGTTTCGTCCCCCTCCTCCCACCACCCCACCCATCCTAACAAACCCCAGAGCTGGCATAGCAGCCATGATCCGAATCCCCTACATCAAAGTCCTCGGCATAACGCAAGATTTCCTCTTCAACACCATCGACATCGCAATCTGGTCGACCGTCGAGCCGGGCCTCGGAATAATCGCCGCCTCAGCCGCAACCCTCCGGCCTCTGTTCTGCAACTTCTACTCGCTCAGCACCCGTACCTCGCAGTCGCAGAAACCCACGCACCCCGCTACAAGCCGGGGGTATCTGCAGCAGAGCACTCAGCACGAACACCAGAGATCAAAATCCGCGTCCACGTTGTCGGATCATATGGAATTGCGACCTAAGACGCATACCACAGCTACTACGACGAGCATTAGAAGTAAAGACCCGTTTGGGGATGCGTGCGAGAGGGAGGACGGGGGCATACAGGTGCAGAGGACGGTGGAGGTTACGCGGACGGAATATGAGGACCGGTTTAGTGTTTTGAGTGAGGAAGCACATGCGGGGGGGAAGGATGGGCGGGATATGGTATAATATAGCATACATTTAAAATCAATTTGCACTTTGATGGGCGTTTTAGGAGGTGCTTGGATGGCAGAAGGGGCTAGGTACTAACTATATAGTTAGCGGTAATGGGTAAAGGATGCATGTATATGGGGGATATATATACTTGGGGCACGGGCTGGGGATTATAGGTTGTAGTACCATACCATAGATATAAAGCGACTACCTACTCTACTACTCGATCACACTACTTACATACACCATCACCACCTCCTCCCCCACGCGCGCGAAATACATCTACATGTACAGTAAGTAGCAAACGAACATGCATACAGTATGACCACCACTAAGCCTCGAAACAAAACGAAACGAAAGAAAACCGCAACGTACAGTATTCCTGGATACAACAATCCGTTCATCCAAGCTAACTTGTAGTCCCAAGGTCCAGACAGACAGACCTATGAACCTTCGCCCGCTCATTCAAACAACTCTAGCTCGTTTTCATTCTATTCTGTTGCGTTGTAAGATTACTGTATACCTACTAGTAGTCTCTCTCTCACGATAACCCGTATGTATAGTACAGTACCTGGATGACCCCTGCAGTACTTACATACATAGGTTTCGAATATACTTCACGGAGAATGCTGTGTGAGTCCAGTCTAGCGCTATTGTAAGATTATATTGATTACCTACCCATGTTCAAGTTTCAAGAAAGTCAGGTCAGCTGAAGAGAGAGATGCAGAGTAAGTGGTATAATCTATATTGGGCAATACAGTACAGTACTGTAATGTAATAATAGGAGCATGTCTGCATGCATGCATGCGTTCTGGGATATCGTAAGAAGCAAAAAACCAACCGAAATCAAATCCGAATTCAACGCCAACCCATTCCCCATTCAAATCCCAAGTCTAAAAGTCCCGTCCAATAGATAACGAAAGAGAAGGAATTATTAGAGGTAGAAGAAATCATCTCCACGTAGAATGTAACTTGGCCCTCCTCGGCCTATGCTTCAACCCCACCTCCCCACCCCCCATCAGGCTCTTCCACCGCCTCCCCACAGTTCCCCTATCCTTGCCCAGACTCCTCGCACAGTCCTGCCAATCGCTCTTTGTGAGCTTGAGTTTCTCTAATACGAGTTCTACGAGTAGTCGGTCTTCTTCTGTAGACCAGAAATCGCTCTGCTGTGCATCGCTGCCTTCTATACTCGGCAGCACTTCGTTGTTGTCCTGCGGAGTGGATGCAGCGAGTAATGAGTGGAAGTCGCCGCGCTCAAGACCGAGTGGGAGAACGGGCGGCGCGAGTAGACGTGCACGCTTTGGTGTGCGCGGCCCGTTTTCATCATCCTCCTTCTCTTCCTGTGCAGCAACACTCGCATCGTCTTCGTCTTCGTCTTCCTGCTGCGCACGCCCATGGCTCATATCATCGTCCGCCACTCTCCGCCTCTTATTGATGCCTCTCGGCGGTGGTCCGCGCTTCGTGATCTTCTTCCTAGGCGTTTGCGCCTGCGCCAAGTCATCCGTCCTGCGTGCGCGCAACCGCAGTTTGAACGGCGACGCTGCGGCGGGGACTTCAGCGTGTGTAGTGGGTGGAGAGGGGAGTTGGTTGGGCGTGGTGAGCATAGATTGCAGGGCGCGGCAGGTGGAGTAGAGGTTGTTGAGCGTTGGGCCCGCGGAGGAGGAGCGCGGCGGTGAGAGCGGTGGGGAGGCGAAGAGGGAGGTTTGGAGACGCGGTTTGTGCGCGCTTTGGGAGGACGAGTCGCAGCCTATGGCTGAGGGGAGCAACATGATTGCGATGGCGGTGAGAGGGGTTGCGGATGAGTTGTGCAGGTCTGGAGTTCGGAAAGTCGATGCGACAGAAGCAGTCCGCGAGCGCGATTGATGCGCCGGCTGCCGTCGGAGGTCCTCAACACTGGATAAGAGGGGTAAAAATTAGATGGCTGTATTCTGCTGATAGAGAAGTGTCGTTGGCTGTGAATTTGATTCTTTGCGACGCTGTTGTGAGGTGTAGATGCGTTTGGAGGGGTGCTATGCAGGTCCGGGATGGGATGTGTGAAGGGAAGAAGGCGGCCTCAGCGGTTGAGGGCGGGCGGGCCGTGATATAATGCAGCGTCTTAATGCTCACTAATTGGACCACCACCACCACCACCACTCCCTGCAACCAGCATGGCCGCGTGATGGATGCGACTACGAAGTGTGGGTGGGACCTTTTCAGATCTCAGACGAGCTCTCACGGAGGTAGGGTTACTGCTCAATTATTGTCTTTCAGTCCCTCAAGTTGGATTTCGTCCATGTCTCATAAAGGTCTGTCTTTTCTCTCCCCTTCTCCCGTGCTTTCGAAAGTATTGTATCCTTCCATACTAACATGGAAGAAGAGAAGTGACGATTTAAGCAGGGGACATGATTAATGTTTTATTGTACAGTCAGTCTTCTATGCTCAAGCTCTGAATTCATATTCTAACTTTCAACGGCGTGATACTGTACACCATCGATCTATCTCACCATGCATGTCTCAACCCCTCCTTTGCTTCTATTACCCAGCATCTACCTTACCTGTCTATCTATCTATCTTATCGGCTACCATGCCCGCCATGACTCGGTCTCGGTGCCAATCCAATACTCATACATACCGAGATGCTGCAGGGCAAGTCAGTGGCTTGCCCCTCCTCCCCTCCCTCACCGAAATCACCCCCCCCTCCCCCCCCTTCACGATGGGATGTCTCTGCTGCGAGGTGTGAGTGGTTGCATGAAGACCCTGAGATTACACTGAGCGCGTTACGCGTAGAATCCTACGTGTTTTTTTCGCGATTTCTTGCACGAGATTAGCCAATCATAAGAGGCGCTTCTCTCACTAGGCAATGCTCGCTCGGCAGCCCAAGTCAGCTAGCACAATCTACCCAAGTGCCTACCTACATTTGAAAATGTTCTTGTTGATAAATAAATAATCCCATTGCTCTTTCTATAGAACTACACTTTACCGAGTACACCATGAAATTCAAGAGCGGTGGAGTGGAGCTTTGCGAGGGTCATGTGATCAACACCATCTTCATAAGGTACTCATGCTCAAGCTATCACTGTGCCTGTGCCTGTGCTGCAAGGTAAAGTGGGATAGAAACAAAGATACGATACGATACGATACTGCAGACTCCTGTAAGGGGTCCCGTCCGTAGAAGCGAGATAAACGAATAATTGCATCGAAGCGGGGGGTAACAGTGCATGCGGCATGCTTTGGTACAGTACAGTAGGTATCGATCAAAAGTGGGCCGATGTACTGTATGTGTTTGGCCTTGACTTTGACCCTTTGCCGGGAGCGAAGTGCAGCGGCACCAGCGGGAATACCTTAATAAGATGGGGGGAGCTAATGCTGATGCTAATGCTAATGCCAATGCTTTGCAGTACGTTCCTGGTGCTAGTACCTCTCCTATCTTTTTAGCCGAGGTAGCTTCTCTGTATGGCTCTATATTGCCAATCCTCGACAGAACTTTGGATAGCAACTTCGCAAAGCTAATACTGTAGCAGTAAACGCGCTCTCAAACTGCCTTCTTGAACAGCATAATCGTCGTAGCACCCCCACTGTCCACTTCTTCCTTTCCTCCCAAAGCTTCACGCAGATCTTTAACAAACACCTTCACGCAGTCTTGCTCTGTCCCAACGAGATCAGGGTGGGCTTCTCTCCAGCGCGTCACCATCGAAGCCGTACCCAAGGCTTGCTCAACTTCCGCGAGTTTCCTTACTAGATATATAGACATCACTCAGCAGTCTGCAGTAGCATTATGGTTTATGAATGAAGCTGGGCGAGGCAAGGCATCAAAGAACAGTATACATAAGGAACGGAATGTAATACTGACCTTTACTACCGGAGAAGAACGTCTTGCCATTGCTCAGAACCCCATCTCTGTCATAGTCGAGCTTGACGTAGTCTGCCTTGGAAAATCTCGGTACTGGCGGCGACACAGTCCATGGTAAGGGCAGCTTGTCATACATTTCCCTTGACAGTAAATTGCCTGGCATTTGGTACTTGCCGACTACGACGTGCTCGAAATGCAGCATGATTTCCGAAAGCTTTGCTACGTTGGGTTGATCGGGATCTAGCATCAGCTGTTAGAAAAGCAAGGGAATAGTAGTTAAGGGACAGATAAAACATACGTGGGAAGCCGGAAGCTACAGTGGATCCTCACGCATTAGCTTCTTGAGGGTATCCGGGACAAGATGGAGTTTTTACCAATGGTCCATAGAGTCATAGTACCACCTGGCTTCAGTACTCTTGCTACTTCCGAGTAGAATTTGTTCAAGTCGAACCAATGGACCTTTCACAATTAATAACAAGGGTGAGAACAAGCAAGCAGGACTCAATACTCACAGCCACTAAACAAACCACGCGTCAGCAGACCAGACGTTGATTCAAGCAGAAATGGAATATTTCGAATAACAAAAGTATAGAAAGTCCATACTAGCAACCGTCACCACATCCACAGACCCAGCCTCCAACCCCTCAACATGCGAAAACCGCTCCGCCGGAACGACCTCCCACCTAATATCCGACCCCTTCTTAGTCTTCCCGCCCTTCTCCCTCGCCGCATCGATCATCGCAGCCCCCGCATCCGTACCAAGCGCGCGATCGAACATCAACGCGAGGTCACGCGTTGCGTTTCCGGGTCCGCATCCACAGTCAACGACGGTTCCAAAGTGCCCGCCGTTAGCGGCGTGGAAGTCGCTTATCGTCTTGTAGAGCGCGGGCTCGTAGGATGTGCGGTGCGAGGCGTAGGCTTGGGCTTGCGTCGATGAGTAGGTGCGGAAGGTAGGGTCGGGAATGGGAGGGGGGGATGTCATCTTGGAGGATAAATATATATATAAACAAAACTCTCTCGGCTGTTTGTGAGGGAAATCTTTCCAGGTAGATTATCTAGGGGGGGGGGGCTTGGGGTTGAGAGTAATGTAGAAAGAGCCGCGTAATGAGTCACGGAAGTCGCTTTGAGATTCCCCGTATGTACATATGTACATGTACATGTACATTAGGAATTCGCAGTTGCGGCTGAAAATACCTGCTAGATTTTAAGCCATCCTTCTCGGGAGATAAACAAGCTTCTGTCAGGTATAAGTTAGGCCATACTGTAATAGGACCCCTCCCCTTTTCTGACGCAGGGGTTCCCCAAAGCTCGTACATATAAAACTCTAGTGCCAAGCCTCAAGTTCCTCACATGTTATTGAGAGTTGAAACGAACGTACATATTAGCTGTCGGAGTCTTGGCATGATGAAACGGGTAGGAGTAGGGCTGGGCTTTGGTTGGAGGGGTTTGTGCGTTTTCGTTTCCGTGTCTATAGTTAGGTTAGGTAGGTAAGATAGCCAACGTCAGAGAGAGCTCTAGGAACCGATCTTCAGCTATCGTCACCTTAGGTAGGCAGGTTTTGCTAAAAGAGAGCAGAGGAGAGGCGGGAAGCGATAGAGTTCAAGTTTGAATGTGTTTATCTCGCATATCTCATGGAAACTTCATTCGTAATAACTTCGCAGTAGGATCTTCTATGATTACAAATTGTATGTCTCGCCAAAAGCCCCCTTTACTCGCCCATTATTATTCACCCACCCAGGCCAAAACACCATTGCTTGACCCATTAATCAGCCATTATTGTCCCCGTTTGCCGTTATTGTCCCCAAAAGCCTACAAGAAGAACGCGAAAGCAGCAGCAGCGCCCAGCAACGAGCCCATCGGTACAACAGTCTTAGCTCCCGCTCCAGTGAACTGAGCAGCGCCTGTCCCAGTCGTCGGTGTCGGCGAACTACCCGCACCGCCGCTCGATGTAGTCGAGTTGGCTGTGCAACTCGAGTTCGAGCTAGCAGGAGGAGGAATCGATCCAGCGACAGCGAAGTTGGCACATGTGATTCTGGTCTTGTTCGCGAAGTGGATGACGAAGGATCGGTTGCCGAAGAAGGATCCGAGACCTGAGACTGTGGTTGCAAAATCTTCTGTGTAGGTCGCGACAAAGGGGTCTTGTTCGATCTTGCCATGTTTTCCTGAGAGATCGCCCACTTGACAGGTCTGAGGAAGAGATGCGTCGCAAGCAGGAGTCTAGTCATATTAGCATTTTGAAAGCGGGGGATGATTGGGGGATCTATTTACCTCGCCGCGAATGAATGGGTCAAGGTGGCCTAAGGTACTGGTGCAGTTGCCATCTGCTGGAACTGGAGCATCATGAATATGGTACAGGAATGGACCTCCGGAGGTCGGCAGGTTGGAGAACGAGACGGAGATAGAGACACCGATGCCGTTGGGGTTTGCGGTAGCAGCGACTGAGCCCTTGATATTTCCACGAGGATCATTGGGATTGTTAAATTCCGTGGTTGGGAGACTCGCGACATAGACAACTCCTGGGGGGTTGTTGGAGACGACTGTAGCGTTGCCAAGTGCTCCAGTTGTGATATTCTGTGCGCCTACGCAAGATAGTAGAGCGGCCAAGGAGACCGAGATGAGGGTGATTGCAACCATGTTGAAAGTTGTGAATTTGTTCCGGAAGTTGCGGCGATGGTGGTTGAGGTCGGCACTTCGATCTATAAATAAGGGTCAGCCGTGGAATGGAACACTCGCGTTCATGATTCACAATACACATACCAGAGTGAATAGACAAGAACCAGCAACAATCAGGTAGATCCAGAAGCAGATTCCCTAGGTTATGTATCCCCAAAACGAATGTTGGAAGTGCGGTAGAGTTGGTTTTGGGTGGTTGGGTTGCTTTTGTTTATCAAGGGGAAGTAGTACAGAAAGTTTGGGAAATGCGACCGGTCCGTACTACATCAATCATATATCAAAATGACACCCGGGCATGCACGAAGCACTGACCCCTGCTGCGCCTGCCATCAGTTGCACCCTCTAAATTCCCATCCCAGACAGCAGTCAGATGTGTTGGAGGATAATCAGCGAGAACAAACGATCCTCAAGCCACAATGTTTAATCGATCAGGGCCAGGGGTAGCTCCCCGGTGCGTTTGGCGGATGCGAGCACGGGTAGCCAATCGAACTTTTTATCTGTTTGTTCGTTTCATGTTAAACCTCCGCCTGGAGACTGGACAGCAGATTGTGAAACGGGGCTCGCGAACTTACAGAATCAGCGCTTCAGTCCCCATCAATGATTAATGAAGGTATTCACCGAAGGGCTCTATGAGGTATCTAGAGCCTGCATTCAAGAAACGCACTTCTCACGGCTTTCAAACGATTCAATATAAGCCATTTATCCAAGACAAAAATCGTCCGTGGCAGCCTTACGTCCCCCTGCCTAGCGTAAAAAGGGATCAACGTTGGGGACACTTCACATGCCTGTGTAGATTTGGCGCTTTGGCCACGAACGTGCTCCATTAGGCGCCATGGATGACCTCCGACCTCTATCCGGCCTACTTTATTTGTGTCACGCTCCTCCCCTCTACTAAGCTTGCTGGGAAATTCTATAAATAAAAATTGTGCGTCTCCAGCGTTTATGGAAGCGGAAGGATTCTCGGTTGCGCTTCTAAATGATTCGGTAGGTATTTTAGGGTTCGACTGAAATAGATGTTGTAAGACTTCGCCGTGATTGGGTATAAGATCCGGCTGGCGATGAATCTTCCCGATTTCAAACGGATGATACGAAAACCAAGTCTCTTTAGTACGGCAGAGACAGTTCCCGAAAGTAACGGTAAATTGGTAATTAGGAATTGGTTGCCCCGTATTGAGCAAGTCCCGTGTATTGGTGTGCCCAGTTCTTCGTTTCACCAAACCCCTTCCAATGGATCCTGCACATCTCGAAACAACTGACAGCGCGGTCAGATGGAGATCTGGACGTAGGCGAGGAGACAAGCTTTTCTTCCACAGCGATCAGTGCAAATCAGTTTCGGATACTGACAGAAAGCTTGTCCGGTCTGAAAGCAGTCTGGGCAAACCAGATACCGGCATGTCCTCAAGTTGTTGCTACTAAGAGTAATCATAATTCCGAAGATGGTACCAAGTCATCCAAATGCTTACCCTAAACCACCCACAGTGCATTCGGACTCCTAATCATGTCAGATGGTGCGCCCAGATGAGGCCGCATTATATAGATAATCTATATAACGTATGATTTGACGAAGCTACCAGCAGTCCAAATACTTATATAGTATGGATGTATGCTACGGGCTCGCAAAGGTCCTTGGTAATTAAGAATCAAAATCTATACACCGCGAATTACATATATCGCAAACATGTTCCCAAGGCAGAGCTTTTCCACACTGTGAAAACTCCAAGTCGATAGTAACGACCTAAGATTGAGAAATAGCTTCCAAAAATATACCAAGGGACTTTGACATTTCTGAATGTCTCGGGTACAATGAAAATTTGACGGCAAGTCGCCGCGAAACAACACAACTTCATCCTCCAGGTGAAGATGACGCATGTTCAAACGGGGTGTTCCAGTCATAGGTACCACAGAACCTCAAATCAAAATACTAAATCTGATTCATAAACATTATAAGGAAAGTGGCATAAAAAAACATCAAGTGTTAGAGCAAGCCGTGGAGAACTTATTCTAGCTCGAGGTAGAAAATTTGCTAAACAACAATGGGAGATATAGATCTTGCGTAGCACCGAGACTAGGACAGGCAATGATAGTAGTTATAATAGAAAGGACCGATTGAGGCAATAGCCCGCGACTGTCACTGGCCGGTGTCAAAATAACGAGGATCGAGTGTCCAGCGGGAACTTGCAAAGCAAGCTTGACTGTCGTGCACATAGTTAGAAATTAGACAGTTTCCCCGAACTTTCAAGAGAATTCCCATCAAAGTCGTATCTTTTTGATCAAGAAGAATGAGCTGCTTGAGATTTTGGGATTTTGAAAGCAAAAGAGTTGTATGTATAAGTGGAATGTCGACATGAGATGGTGAAGAGCTTGAGCTATGCTATGGAAAAGTCTTGGCCACGACGGTTTCGGTTAGCGTACTACAAGCTACACTCGTCACCACAACAGCTCAGCTCGTAAGATACTAGGCAACGTCAGAATCAGCCTCATCACCAGCTCATCCCCTCGCTCATCAGACAACCAGCCAGGGCAAGAGCCGCATCTCAGTTCCTCCACATACATTTTCCTCTATACCGCCATCATGAAGCCCGTCGTGGGGGTTATGCAAGCTTGGTCTTGGTCAGTCAGCAGCTTCTCTCTTCTCCTCTCCAACAGGCGACGGTCCCAACAAGCAAATCAGACTTCATTCAAGCTAATATGAACGCGATACAGCATCGTCGTCTCGGTATTCGCCATTGTGATCCTCTCAGTCATCGGCGCCCTCTTCAAAGCAAACAATCATAGCATGGTGGGCACAGTCGAGGACCCAGAGAACGGCGCCGCAGTTGCCGCGACTGTCTTTTCTGCCGTCATAGTATACGCTGTATGTCATCCCCCAAAACAACAGCAAATCTCCGCTCTCTCTCTCTACAAACACACAAACAAATTCTGACGTGGGGTTCTATTCTGTGCACAGTTGTTCATTGTCGGCTGCGGGTTCCAGGCGTACTTGCACTTCCGCGATAATCGAAGAGGGGCGATTTCCCTATCATAATGAAACAGAGCGAAACAGAGAACAGTATATAAGGGTTAGAGATAGAGCTTAGGAGGGCAACAGGGAGGCGTTTGGTGTTATGCGATTTGTCATGGATCATTCTAGGGCAGAGTGGTGCTAGCAGATGTTTATATCAGTCGTGTCCTGGGAATCGAGGAGACCGTTACCTATCTACGTTTGTTCGGATTAGAGCTTTGCGGGAGACAGGGGGACATATGGATATTGTGCAAAGCAGCTCCGTATGTTTTGTCGGCGAGACTGCTAGATACAGCTAGCTTATGGAGTACTTTTCAAACCCTCCCTCGTTCTATCTTCATTACTACGAAACCTACCTTATCTTACGATAAATGAGCTTCTGCAAGCAATCCATTTATCCAGACGCTGACAGTCACCAGACGTCCATCTCCGGTTGAAACTCTATTGCGTGAATTCCGTCCGTCAGTGATCCATTTTTTGTACAGCAAGTGCTTTAGACGTACCGTGGACTTTCATTGCGGTTTCCTGTTCCAGCGTGATACATAGCTCTGTTCGTACAGTTTAGGGTAGTGGGGGAGGATGTTCAAGTATGGTTGTTTGATTGCTTAGTAGAAAGGTGCCTCGAACTTTAATTCACAGGTGGTTTGTATGGATGCGAGTATTTAACTACTACAGTCGTTAAAGGACTGTCAAGTATAAACTCTTAGGCCCATTATTTACTCTTATCCATTTTTAATATTCCCGCTACCTAGCACACTACAAATTGTGCCGCTTTTTTCTGTTCGCCAGATGGCTACTTCCTTTTTCAAATGTGTTTCTCTAATACTTTTATCTCTGCCGAAAAATTGTGATTGACTTCCCTGCTACCCTGAAGCAGCGATCTCAATGCTCGGCTGCTCGGCAACCTCGTATTGCGATGGTCTGCTCTCTATACCAATACGCTTTATCATTGCATTTCGATTAGTAGACTCGAGAGTCAACTCAGCCAAATCCACGAAGAATTCCTTGGGAAATTGGTGCTGCTTCCTCCGAAAAACAGTATGGCAAACGTAGCAAGCACACTGATGCAGAAGGAATTTTCGGAGCGGGCTTCCTTCGCAGGTGTTTTCGTAGACATATCTTATACAGCTTGTGGAAGCATCCTCGGTCTCTTGGTGTATTTCTTCAATTGTGCGGACAATGAGGTTCTGGAGTCCGGGGAGAAGCAACTTGTGTGGCCGAAAGAGTTATTATGGTTCTGTCTGCCTTTGCTTCACGATCTCTCAATGGAAGGGCGAAATTTGACTTGCCTGCAAGGACCCAAAGGCGGCAGAGACTCAAGCCTTCTTCAGCTTTCTTTGGATGTGTTTTTTCATATCGGCATATGTCCAATTGTTGCGTATAGAGCCAGTCCACAAGCAATCGTGCGACAGGTTCAGTGGCTTCCTCCAAAACATAAGTCTGCGTCTGGCCTTCGATAAACTCGCTGTTGAAAGCTGCCTTCGGTACTGGGGAGTAATGACACGCAAATTCCTTATGGACGATAAATTTCTTCTTTTCCGGGCCGACCTCAAGCGTTACGAGCTCTGCTGGGTTTCTGTTGATCAATTAGTGCCTTCTCCCTGAATAATATGGGATGCTAGGAGCATGTCTCACGAGAAACTGGTGCCAGGTCTCCTCGGCTTCTTGTCATCTCTTCTTTCGTACTTCTGGGCTGGTGAATCTGTCATATTTTTGGAAGATCGACGGCAGTGATGTTGTCGAGGTGAGACAGTAAATCGATGGATGGCGCAGACTTGCTTAGCTACGTAGAATATCGCCTATGTCCTTGCGCTAGACGGCGTTCTTGATGTAGAGGCCGAAATGTTGCTGTTGCTGTTTGTTGTTGAAAGGTGTTCTAGGTTTGAGGAAGGAGAAGACCTACCGTATATGGCGGAGGCCTCGCTAATTGCAAAGAGCAGAAGGCATCGAAGCGACAACCAGTTGCAATTGACAGGTGTCGCATAGGAGGAAATTGAATCTCATCACAGGGAATACATACGGTGGATGTGTGAGGAGGAAGGAAGAAGATATTTGTCATGCGTTGTTCGAATTATGATGTGCTGTCTGCCAAGCTAAAGAATCTAAGCCCCAGCCATCCATAGCACCATTTCCTTCCCTTTGCCAATGTTTGAGCAAAATACATATATGTGTTGGATTAAAAAAGCATCGAGAATGATGTAATGTAAAGAAACACTCGGCAATGAAGTCTCCGAAACACTACAGTACGGTGGGAGAAACGCATCGGTGTATTACTTCTCCAGAACCTGGTACTGGCTCCAGTTTGTCACCATGCCAAACGCCTTCTCCGTCTCCCCGACCCTGAAGCTTGTTTGGTATTCTAAAGCTAGCTCAAGCAACATCTCCTTCGGTACGTCGTCTGGAAACTCCGAGTACACCATTCGGGGCATATAGCATGCACACAGATGTAGGATAAATCGCCGCAGCAAGGATCCCGTCTCAGTCTCCTTATACACGTACTTGAGAGTCCTTCTCAAGACCAATTTGTGCTCCCGGATGTGCTGGTGCATTAATTGGATTATGGCATTCTGTAATCGAGGAATTAGAAGCTTGTCAGCCAGCATATGAAGTTGGATGAGTATCAGATGTTTGTCTTGAGAGCTCTTCGGCTCCCAGTCATTGTAGTCGAGTAGTTGTTGAGAGTAGAGCCAATGGACAAAGACTCTTCCGGTGGTCTCTCTAGGATCCCTGAGGGTGTAAGTCTGCGTCTGACCTTCAATAAAGTTGCTATTGAGAGCTGCTTTGAGGACTGGGGAGTGATAGCAGGCGAATTCTTTATGAACAACGAATCTTATCTTCTCCGGGCCAAACTCGACAGTGATGAGCTCGGTGGGGTTTCTATTGCACGTTAAAATGAGCTATGTCACGAAAAACCATATTGCTCACCGGAAACTCGGGTTGGGAGCCTTTGTTTTCTTCTCGATCTTCGCTGGTATTGGAGATGGCGGTGACGATCCTGGCCAACCTGTTGGTGCTGCTGGTGGTGCTGCTGGTCTCGAATGTACATAAGTCCCACGAGAAAGGTCATGATAAGAGATCAAGCCTGATTCAGACATTGTCCGCTGCAGATGTATCAATAATGAATGCCTTGAAGTCAGAAGATTGACAAGTTACCAGTATCCCCGATCCAGGAATTATGAATGGCCGAAATATGATGCAACAAAAAGTTACTTCAGAACGAGGCACTGCGATATTTGCTGTCGAGAGTCGTTGCCGAGAGTCGCTGCGTTGAGCCTGGCTTTCTTCTCCGGCATTCGTTGGCAAGATAGAGCGGTATGCGTATCCGTCGAGGACAAATGGAGTTAAGAGGTGCGCAAAGACGTTTTACAGCGAGAGAATTCACATCGTGCGCTCGGGTGTTATGTTGTTCTCAATTTTGAGGATCGGTGTGTTGTGGATGCGGAGAGGCTTTCAAGTGTTGCGAGGAAGTCCAGGAGAATCGACCTCGCTTAATTTCGAGGGGCGAGGAGCGGGGTGCGGTGACGAGTTGTATATTCGATGGGATGCTTTCTCGAGGAATTATATAAAGTCACAAGGGACAAGGAAATAATTATTGGGTTTTTATATTTAGAGTCTGTATCTGAATTATGCACTTCGTTGTGCTAGTGCTCCGCGAAAGATATGTGATATGTAGAACTCCACTTCGCCCCATAGAATACGCTTCGGAAGTCCCTCGACACTTCTGAAATTACTGCTGCTAACACTAGTAGTATGTCTACATGTACTGAGCCATATGTAATCTTGCCAAAGTCCACACGTGAAAGCCCTATCAAGGATGTCAAGTCTTGCATATCTATCGACGACATCGAGAAGAAACTCCCTGGGAGCATCCCTTACACTGTCTTTAATAGACTCGGGTGACATGTAAATGACAGATAAGTCAACTAAAAAACGCCGAAGATAGCTGTCTTCAGCAGTGTTTTCATAGACGTATTCTAGAAGCCCGAAATTGAATGGGGGGTAATAGTTTGCTATAAGTTGACACCTATGCCATTCTTCGATGATCGTATTCTGAAGAGAAGTAATGTGAAGTCTACCCCCAGCGATCCAAAGCTCCATCAGAGCTGTGTTATCACCATATAGTTCATCAAAGTTGACGTCAACTTTCTGGGTATACATCCAATGAACCAACAGCCGACCGGTTTCCTCTGATATGTCCTTGAAGACAAATATTCGAGTCTGCCCCTGAGGAGAGTCGCTGGTGTAATCAGGCTCCAAGACTGGCGAAGCAGTACAGGCGATTTGTCTGTGGACAATGAATGGTTTTTTGCTGCGACCAAACTTGAGGGTGACGAGCTCTGTCGGAGTCCTATTCACCCCATCAGTCAGCATCGTAAAAATAAAAACGTTCCGTGAGCATCTAAAAGTCAAAGATCGACTTACGAGAAACTATCACCAATTGCCATCTCGGAAGCTACTGTTAACTTGCTCGTGGTAATGATGGTGGATGGTGGTGATAGGTGTGATGGAGGTCTCAAAGCCACGTTGTTGACTTTGGAGTTGCGAGTTGCAAGACGAGTGAGAAGTTGAGGAGGGAAAATATTGCTTCGCCCGTTGCGGAATGAAGAATTGATCAGGTGGTGACAGTGGTGGTAAAGGTGATGGAGGTCTTAAAGCCAACGTTGTGGTCTTTGAAGTTGCAAGACGAGCGAGAAGTCGAGCAAGTGAGAAATTGCTTCTCGCATTGCGGAAAAGTGAATTGACAAGGGATGGAGATGCAAGTTGAACTCTAAACCTAGTGCTTGCGAACGAAATTATTTCCCTTCTTTGCTTCATCAGAGATATCAGATACTCTGCATTCTAGTAACTCAGTGGCAATGGTAACCATGTTTTAAGAAAGATCTAATATTGAAGATGCCGGAAATTTGAGAATCGAAGGAATTGCATGCTATGATGTGTAAAAGTTGACCCGATGTAAAAGCCACGCCATGAATGAGTTGCTATCAGCAATTAGGGAATAACTCCTTGAATTTTGCCACCACTATGCTCCTACCATATCAGATTTCTCCGTTAGATTTAAGACAAGTTTAAAATGTGTCGTTTCACACAATGCAGTGGAGAATATTTCCACACCCCTACACCATAGCAATGTCCCAACCTGTCAGTGAATATGGAAATGCAAGAGGCGAATATGGAAGGAAGTGCGAGAAGGGAATATAAAGGTGGTAGAAGAAATCACAGTGTAGAGATAAAAGATTTGAAAGCCTTGCATAGGAAAGAATAATAATCTAGTAGCACACCTTTCTAATTTCACCTAAACATATCCTTGACAACATACCAAATTGACGCCAATAAGAGCAAATCACATACTGATCAATACTTCATATAGTAATTCTCCCCCAACTCCCCCTAAAGATAACTCCTAACACCATTCCCAGCCCACCAGCCCACCACACCACACCACCACAACTCCCAAAACCCAACCAAACACACGCACTGCAGAACTATCACCATCACTCCTGCTCCTCAACCTTCAACATTATCAATTCCTCCCACCTCCTAATCTTCAACTCCCCCGTCTCCTTCGGCAGCGCCCGACTCTGCACCACCGCCAGATCCAACAACATCTCCTTGGGAAAATGCTCCGGCTTTTCCTTAAACCTTGACTCCACCATGTTAAATGCACACCAGTGCAAGAATAACTTACGAAGTGGGCTTTCGGATTCGGTGTTCTCGTACACGTAGTTTAGGCAGTGGGTGCTGATGGTGTGGAAGCGTATGCGAAGGCGTTCTAGTTCCCAGATCACGAGGTTTTTTAGGGAGGGAATTATGAGTTTATCGGCGAGGATCTGAAGAGGGGGGAAAGTTAGCCATGATTCATTCCTCTTTACAGATATCTCGACAGCCGTGAGACTTTCTTCTCATAGATGCCGAACTGGGAAGATTCAAAGTGGGGTATACACACCCAAAGCTCACAGAGCTGCATATCAGTGCGTGCCTTTGTCGCTTGATGGAACTCGAGATCCAATTCCTGGTGATAAAACCACTACTCTCTCATTAGCCCACGACCTTTTTACCATATAAATCTCCCCCAAAACACAACACAACACGTAAATCATAAACAACAAATTCCACTCACGTGAATCAACAGTCTCGCCACAGCAGGACTAACATCATCTAGCTCATACGTCTGAGTCTCGCCCTCCACAAACCGACTATTAAACGCCGCTTTAAAGACAGGCGAGTAGTAGCATGCTAACTCCCGGTGCGTGATCAGATCGTGGCCGAGAGCTAAGGAGCCGGCGCGGATGGTTACGGTATCCTGGAGATTCCTGGGGGTTCTGATTAGTTGATTATTGACTGAGGTGAGGTGGGGGTGTTTGGTTAGGCGGGTCTAATTATGGAGGAGGCACCATTTCTTGAGTGGCTCCTTGCCCGCGATTTCTCTACGCGGCCGCTGGATGCCATTGTTACTGTACTGTACTTGCGAAGTGCACGTGGCTTGTATAGGAAGAAGCTTGGACCGGACTAGGCGAATCAATCGTAGGCCGCGTTAAAGAGAAAAGTGTGTGGGTTGCAGCTTGATTCTGGTTGTACGCCAGGCGTGGGAATTTTGATCACGGTCAAACGAATGAGGTTGGCTGGATTTGTCCCAGCCCCTTATCTAGCGGAGCCGAGCTAAGGCGTTACTAACTCTAACTAGAGGCATGACTTTATATCACGTGAGTTATTATTCTCTTTGATAGACCAGCAGAGGACTAATCTAGGTAGGTATCTCACAGAAGCTGATCTTACGTGAAAGTAAAGGGAATAATAGGGTGGCAATGATATATACAGTACAAGTGCCTGAAATAGCAACAAAGTGAGAATTACAGTCGTCCCTCATCAATCACATCTCTCATCGCTCTTATACAAAGGGTATCATCAACATCCGTCCTTTCATCACCACTCTCCGCCATCTCCCTGCTCAAAACATCCTCCACCCTTCAACTCATCTCACCAACCAACAACCACACAACCACCACCACAGCCCCCAAAACACCCATCCACCTCCTCTCTGCACCACCAACCCCCCCCACTACTCACCCCAGACTCAACAGTATCCGTCGCCTTCCCTTTACTCAACACCTTAACATTATCCTTAAAAAACTGATCCCCCCCAGTACCACCCACCACATTCCCCGGCGGATAATACTCACACACCACATACCACCCCGGCGTGCCATTCTTCCCCCCACAAGCCGTCCGCCCACATCCCACACTCGTGGTATTGCTCCACACAACCTGTGTGAAATGCCCCGTCGCCTCCTTGAACCCCGGGCTCTTCCAGTTATACTTCTCGCGCTCTAGGCCCCAGGCATCGACACTCGCCGTGGCATTGGCGTACCCTGATGCGAGGTTCTCGCCGGTTGGTCCGCCCTGTTTTATCTCTTTCGTCAGCCTATTCGTTCCTTAGAAATACAACTACAATGATTTGAAAAACAAAAAAAAAAAGGCTTCTGAAGAAGCATTTGAAAACCCAATGGTAGGCAAAAGGAAAAGAGCAAAGAGGATAGAACACAAAACTCACACTATGCACAAACCGACACCCATCCGCCCACTTCACCGCCACCGCCGCCGAACTCTCATTCCAAGTCAACGTACTAGCATTATGCTCCCCGCGGTAAAAATTATGCGCATCCAGCATATCCTTCTGAAACGCTGTATCAGAAGTATAATCCGAACTCTCACTCGTACTCGTAGCTGCAGCGGCAGCGGATTGCGTTAGGGTCACTGTTGAGACGGCGCGTGCGGTTGTGAGAAGAAAGAGAGGAAGGAGCGCGAGGCTCGAGGAGAATAAAAACATGGTGACTTGTGATGGGATGTTTGGATTGGTATGGCGACTGCTCACTCCGTGTAATCGAGAGAATGAATGAATGGATTGATCGATTGGTTATTGGCAAAGAGGACTTCTTCCCTACTTTAACAAAGAAAAGTCCTACCTACCTATACGAAAAGAAACACAAGAACAAGGCACGACCAAACCTGATCGCAGCCCTGTCCTGTCCTGCATCGTACCCCTACCGTACCTACATGTCACCTTTCTATTCGAGGAACATCGAGGCTGAAGTTTCTTGCTTCGGGTTGGCCCGAGCGAGCCGAGCTCGATTGGATCTGCGCCGTTGATGGTGAGGTATGATGACGTGAGAGGCTGACAGGGGATGGGGCTAATAAAGTCACGTGTTCAAAAATCAATTGATCGTTTATTGATTCACTCACGAAGCTAGTAGGAGTTTCTGTGTTGTTACTGCAAATGCAAGTATCAATCATACCTAGTTATTTTATATCTACAAAAGCCCTCGGGTACGTGTGGGTAAGTATCTCTTATTCTGTCTTGCGCATTAATCATATAATCAATCCCACGCCCACGATTGCTCGCAGTTTTCGTATTTGTATCGTATTCGCATTTAATGCCTGAACGCCGTGCCAAATATACCATGCCATGCCATCCCAAGCCAAGTCCAGCCAGAGAAACCACGCTTGCTGATAGTCTTTAAAAGAGTAGAGTGTCCATTTGTGCGCCCAAGAACGCCAAAGGGAGGGGTTAGTTGATGTTTTACGAGCTTGTGGGAACTGTGGTTTTGTAGGGCAGTTGTGCCAGTTTCTGGAGGACTGTAAGAACACCTAGATACTTGTTAGTATATGTTTCAACAGTGTGATAATAATGATGCATACCAGTGACTCCCTGAGTAAGAGTAAAACCAGCCTCAGTGTTGCGGCTTCCCACGCTCACAGTCGTAACATTCTTGATCGTCTTGTTCTCTTGAAGTTCATTGGCCCAGCGGAAGGCAACTTCATCGTCACGGCCATCACCGACGACCATCAGGAAGTCGATGGGTGGGTTGTGGGTTGGATCAGAAGTTATCTCTTTCTGGAGACCTTCAAAGATCTTCGCTGCTGCTGTGCCTTTTGACCAGTCAATTGGTGCAACGAAGACAGCGTCTGCATGATTATTAGTAATTTAGAGAAGAGCGACGTATGAATTAACGTACCCTCAACTGGTGTAGCCTTTACTCTCTGCTCCTCACAAGCATCATTGATATGACTTGCGCAATCACCAGCTTGGCGACTCGCGCTTTCCTGATCCTCGCAATTCTTATAGTTAAACGTCAAACTACAATGACGGCTCTCGACAGTGGAGCCGGGAGTGCGTTCCTGATAGTACCGCATGATACCTTCGACAGAGTCTTGCCATGCATGCATTTTTTCAGGATCAGCCATCTCAACCCATTTCGAAGAACCAAATTCTTTGAGGAAGCAGCCGTTCTCCGCAATCAGACCAAGACCAGGTACACGCTTGAATAGGCCGTCGAGCTCTTCGGGCTGGCGGCCAGACATGACATATACGATATTGCGTTCGTCGGTGAGAATATCATTTAAGACATCCAGTGTGCGCTGTAATAATTAGAACCTGCTAACGAGAAACTTAATTGGAACTTACCTGAGGGCTGGTGAGGATAATATCATGCGGTGATCCCCAAGAGGCCAGAGTACCCTCATAATCAATAATGAACAGACGCCGATCTGATTTCAGGTATTGATTCATGAGGACGTTGATGGACAGCCGAGGAATAGAAGTTGTATCGCGACTATTCTGCTGGTCGTACGCCTTATCAAGCCGAGTGAGAAAAGTAGTAAACCAGTGCTCTGCGGTATGCTTCATCACAGCTTCGTACAGCTTCGTCCAACGTGCCTCCTTCTCCTCATCGCCCATTTCCAAAGCTTTCTTGATTGCCTCGGCACATTGACGATAGTCCCAAGGATTGACTGAAAGTTCATGACCACCAAAGACTGAGGCACTACCAGTGAACTCGCTTAAGATCAGTGAACCGAATTTGTTATGTCCCTTGAATTTGCCATCTTGACAAAAGAGGTATTCGTGGCAAGTTAGGTTCATTCCCTCGCGCTGGCTGGCAATCATCAAAGCATCAGCAACCGTGAGTAAGGCAAGATACTGAGGATAACTAATGTCTTGCTTGAGGTAAACAAGAGGTTGATAAGCCAGGTTGGCCCATGACGAATTGACTCTCGTAACAATGTCAGAGACAGTGGCATCGAGCTCAGCCTGTTCGGTCGTAGAGGTTGCAACTTGAATCATGACTACATGATCACGCCACTCGGGATACTTATTCAGGAATAACTCGTACGCCAGGAGCTTTTGCCGAACACCACGGATATTGTCCAGCTTATCTCTAGCAACAATAAGCTTCTTGCCTTGGTATCGCTCTTGCATTGTGCATAACCACTTTTCAACAACCGGTTCTGCTCGGTTCATCTCAAGGGCCACTGGATCAATGCCGATAGCCAGGTCCATAACATCCACAAAGCGATCTTCCAATTGAACGCCATCGTTAGTCGCCTCGACACAGAGCAGCCTGCTGCAGGTTTGCAGAAAGTGGCGTGCATACTCATGAATTTGAAAGCCGATGAGGTTAGCCCCAAGCATCCCTTCAAGCAGTTCCTTCCGGACAGCGAGGCATCGGAATACCTCGGATGATGGAAAAGCAACATGGAGAAAGAATCCAATCTTGGCATCCGGAAGCTTCTTGCGGATCATGGATGGCACCAGAAGTAGATGATAGTCATGGACCCTGCCGCACCAATCAGCATAAATTCAAACTTGAGGAGCCGATGAGCCTAGACTTCTAGGGAGCTGTCTCGGGAGCCGGCATGAGAGCTCCTGAAACAGATCCCCTCACAGAATTCAGCAAATTAATATGGGAATAAGCCTACCAGATGATATCTCCACGCTTCCAATTCTTGACAACCTTGTCGGCAAAATCTTGATTCACTTTGACATAGTAAACCCAGGAGTGATCCTCATATGCTTTGCTCTTTGGGTTATCCGGAATCTGGTAATGGAAGACTGGCCAAAGGATTTGTTTGCAGTAATGCGTGTAATGTCCATCAAAATCGCTATCCTTGCAAAAGACAGTCAAGGAATCGTACTCGGTAGCCAGCCGGTCCTCGATATCTTGCTTCTGCTGCGTATCTTCGAGAACGTCCGTGGGCATGCCCAATGTCCCAACCCAGATTTTTTCGTTGAGATTCCCGCTGCGAACTGCAGCCTGAACAGCATTTCGTAGTCCTCCGTTGCCCTGATCGGCGTTTACAACCGTCCAATCCGCATGTTGGAATACGCGGTCACGGCTATCACTTCGTTCACCAAGTTGAGGTTGGCGAACTCCAGCTCGGCCAAGCGTAACTGCTCTGTCTACTGCCTTGTTGTGCTTCAAAATGTTGGCCGGGGGAGGAGAGCTAGCTCGGGATCTGGGCTGTGTAAAGAGCTTGCCGGTGCCCCATGCTGGCGAATGAGGATCGTTGGGAGCGATTATAGATCGTGGACCTTCTTGCTTGGGAAAGTGACCGGCATCTTGGGTAAAGAACTTGTCATTTCCATCTCCTGGGGGCGTATTAGGAGGGGTCAAATCTCGTTGAGCGAATAGACTGGGCTGAGAGGTATCGATCTTGGTTGTGGTCCGAGTGGGGAGACTCGGTCGGGTGCGGGGAGTGGAGTTTGTGGTGGGGAGCGTGAAGTTGATGGTATTGGGGAGGAATCTGTGTTTGTCTATCAGTACAGTACTTGGATTGTACGTTGACGGCACACGGTGGAGCAAGAAGGTGGATCGTCTGGAAGTAGGAGCTGGCTTATGACTGGAGCGAAGCTACTGAAAGCTCCAATAGGTTTCAGAGCTTGCAGGAAGAGCTTGAAACACACCCCGCAGAGTAATTGCAGCAATTGATCTGGAAGATGCAACTTGTGTAATTGAAGCGCTCGTGATTGCTGGCAGGAAAGAAAAGTTTACGTACAGAGAACATACGAAGACCGTCATGGTAATAGCTTATGAGGACGTTCAAGTCCAGCTTGGAGAAGGGCCAACGGAGGAGAGTTGGGTATGCTGAACTGGAATTGCGCGAGCATGAACTTCGCGAAGGAGGTCTGTTGTTGGATGAAATGAATCGAGTGGAATGGAAAGAGCAGTCGGGTACTGTAGGAGGCGATTATCTGGAGTCAGCTGTTTTGTGTCGATTCAATTTGAGCTTTCTGCCAATGTCAACGACTAAGTCGCAACAACAGTGTTCAAATTCCCGTGAAGCGTTCCGAGATCTTGGTAAGGCGATGAGGCAATTAAATTAAGTATCCCTCCTCCCTTGGTGGTAGATAGCAGGCTCGAGGATTTGCAGATATGTAGCAAAGGGTAAGGTATCTAGGTATGAGGAGCACGGCACAGGTCATCAGATGTTGGTTGGGGATTTGGTATGTGGTTGTTCGATTGTTAATATGCAGGTATATCTGGGGATAATTTTTTCCTACGTCAGGCACAGCACAGAACATCAGGGATTCTGGGACAAGGATGCGATGCAAGGTATCCGGATAGCGGGACATTTTGGGGCTCTTGATAGGAGGAGCATCGCTTGGCAAGGAAGCGTTGCACCTCCATCCCTGCACGTATCCAAATAATCCAACTTGGCTTGGGCAGCTACAGTAAGTACTTCAGTACACTTCGGGACTTTACGGGGGAGTTACGGTACAGTAATAAGGTTACAGCACCAAAGATTGCTCCAACTTACTTCATCACGGAATAGCATCACCGGGTATCTTCATTGCACTTTGGATGCATCTTCTCATTCGTGCATAAACTTCCTATCAACAGTTTCAACACAACACCACCTGCTACTGGAGCTTAGCTCCGGGATCTCCACCCACAGCATGAAACTTTTCAAGCAATGCGGGCCAGGCCAGAACTGCAAAACCGGCCACTCACCGAAAGCCTGCCCGAGGCGTGTGAAGGTTACAGGCCAGGGCTTGCCGTGTTGGCGGAAACGTCATACGAAGTGCTAGACCACGCGGCATCTTGCAACTTGCCGATATCATTGACTCACGCCCAACCCAGCCAAAGCAATACTCGAGTAACGGCGATGTCAGAAAACATCTTCACCCGGACCTATATCCGTTCATTATCTAAAGTGAAAGCCATACAGCAAACTTGCAAATGCTATCCGTCAATAGCCATGATTTGTACGACCTCCCATACGATCAAGCCCATGGCCAGCCCTCTTACACCCGTCCCAGGCAACGTAGTAGTGTCCCAAATGCCGTGGAATATTCAGCGAGCGGACACTTCATCTACATGGCTGTGTGTTCTCTTGTGGCCGCGGTGTTCAACCGTTTACCTCTTGAGATAAGACGAATCTTTTGATAAATGCTAGGGCCAGGTCAATATCGCAGTCCTCCCCTCTCAAGTAACGCAGAATTGCTAGCTCGGGCAGTTGGGTGAGTGATCTACCACTTATTCCTCCGATTAATTGCGCATCTCCAGAGTTGATAAGCCCGAGGATGGCTAGTATCTGGGCACCAATCTTCGCCCCCGGTCCGTCTCCATCTGCCCTATACTCGATATCTGCCTCGTCGTATAGTGGGAGACTCCTGTCGGACGTGATGTGGCCTCGGTCTATGAGCTTCTGGATCCTTCCACAGAGAATAGCGTATTGCGAAGCACTCGAAGGTGGATTGACAGCGATTCTAAGTCCGCACCTATCCAGGAAGGCTGTGTCAAGAGAGCTGACCATGTTCGACGTGCAAAGGAAAATAACATTGGCCAATCCCTTCGCTCGGTCCAGACCCGTAAGAAGAGAGTTTGTTGCTCGCAGTGAGTCCTGGGCTTCCCCGTTGTAGGTGCTATGCTCCCTTGAAAAGGCAATACTTTCTACTTCGTCAATCATAACGCAGATGAATCGTTTCGGGTCGTCTTGGCACATGCGAGCGATTGTTGTAAATATGTTATCTACTTGCTTCGCGCTCTCGCTATAGTACTTGGATAGTAAATTAGCTGTCTTGATTTGAATCAACTTCGTTTGTTTGTAGGTAGAATTGAGTCGAATGGAGATCTTCTGGGCAAGGCCTTGGCACAATGTGGTCTTGCCCGTTCCGGGAGGGCCGTACAACAAGATGAGCGGATTTACATCTCGTGAATCGGCCCCCGATTTTTGTGAAAACCGTAGTATATTGGTCATCATCCAAATGAGCTCTCCTTTGAGGTCGCTCTCGAAGACAAGTCTGGCAAGGGTTAGCTCAATGTGTGACGTCGTATGGGTGGATTGAATATCAACATACTCATCCCATTGGCCATCAAACCGGACATGTGGCAGCAATGATGTTTCAGCTTGCGGTATAGTGGAATCCTCTTCTCTTGCTGTATCATACAGTTGGTATGCTTGGAGTCTGACCGTCATGGTGTTGAGGGTGTAGCAAGCGCTGGCTGTCTCAATGCCCACGTATTCAACCACTTTTAGCGATTGGATAATGTCCTTATAGGTTTCAAACAGCTGGCCAAGAGTAATTGAGGCATCTGATGAAATTTAGAAGCTATATGATAGAGTTTCTCATCTTGAGTAAAGCTTTACGTGCCTCTCCCTCCCTTCCAAGAAGATTGTGGAAGAACATACCTGGATTAGCCATGATATCGTCGCCCACTTCAACTACTGAACTGTTGTCTGGGGAAGACAGCCGAGCTTGCAAAGCCTCTTGAAGCTGAGAAGACTAGTCAGGCAAGTGCAAAGAAGATGAATTGTAGTTCATTTTACCTCACAGATGTCTGACCAGTCTTTGGAGATTCTGGCCTCGATGAATATGGTGCTTATGATTGTGCTTGGGCATAGGACCATGGCAAAGCCCCCGTCTTCAGATAACTCTTTAAATTCTTCCTGTTTGGCCATCTTGCGTGCGCAATTGCAGGACAGTAGTATATAGTCGTAGATTTCGGTGGTGTATACCTTAGGGAGTCGGGGGTGAAGTTTGCGGTGGGGTGGAGGAAGGCGGTTTATGCGTTGAAGTGTGTGCCGGGGGTGCTTAGGGAGAAAGTAATAGGGGTTTGTTTACTTTCGAGGTGGAGTAGGCGCAACAAAGACTGGCGTGGCCGTAGAGATGTGCCTTCGCTTAGAAACACGTCATGGAAACCCGCCTGCATTGTTGATCTGACTCCAGTTGAAGAGCTCGGCTCGGAAAGAACATTCTTAACATTATTGATACTCTCTGGCTTCAAATCCCTTGGTCGAAGCCAATATGGCAGAGAATTGCACCGTCTCTGATCCGACGGATCCTGCCAACGGCCAAAAAGATGTCTACGTCCAGCTTGTACTCTCCCTCGCGCTCGGCGTCTCAGCGTTCGTTGCCTTCTGTGTAAGAATCACCAAACCCATCGGACGAGTGGATTTCAGCCTGCTATTGATTCTGATTTTCACAGATTCTCCGCCCGAAATGGAAAGGCCTTTATGCCGCGCGAAAGACGCAGTCGGATGCCGCCTCATTTCTACCAGACCTCCCCGACACCTTCTTTGGCTGGATGCCTGTGCTATACAAAGTGACAGAACAAGAAGTCCTTGCTTCTGCGGGACTTGATGCTTTTGTTGTAAGCGTGCTGATGCTCTTTGCCGGTGCCAGATGCTAAATAGTATAGTTCCTAGCTTTCTTCAAGATGTCGATTAAACTCTTCGGAATCATGTTCCTCCTTACCTGCGCCATTATTGTTCCAATCAACTTCCACTTCGACCACCTTCTCACCCCTGGAGATAGTAGACCTAGAAATGATACGAAACCGCCAGAGATTTTCCCAGCCTTCTCGAGTTGGGACGTGGATGCGGAAAGCAAGGATGAAACAGACAAGGCCTACACAACAAGCTATTTATGGGCGTATCTTGTTTTTACGTACTTTTTCACTGGACTTGCATTATATTTCATTACGCAAGAGACGCAACGAATAATAAAAATCCGGCAGGACTATTTGGGAAGCCAATCTACCATTACAGATCGTACAATTAAATTGTCTGGAATTCCGAAAGAATTGAGGTCAGAGGACAAAATCAAGGAATTCTTAGAAAAGCTTGAGATTGGGAAGGTGGAAAGCGTCACGATTTGTCGCGATTGGAGCAGGCTGGATGGATTGATGGAAAGGCGAGCGTATACCTTACGCAGGCTCGAAGAAGCATGGACTGAACACCTGGGACAGTCCAAGACTAAACAAAACCAGCCCCCCCAAGAATCACAATCAAACGCCCAGGACGATAATGAGGATTCAATCAATCCAGAGCATAGCAATCTTCTTGGAGAAAGTCATATCACGCCTTATGATAAGCCACGCCCGAATACTCGAATTTGGTACGGCTTCCTCGGCCTTCAGAGTAAAAAGATCGATGCCATCGACTACTATGAAGAGCAACTGCGAAAGGTGGACGAACTTGTCATTGCAGGAAGATCGAAGATTTACCGACCTACACCCCTTGCGTTTGTCACTATGGACTCAATCCCGGCCTGCCAAATGGCGGTACAAGCTCTACTGGACCCCGAGCCCATGCAGCTCATGGCGAACTTGGCCCCAGCGCCATCAGACATTGTTTGGCAAAACACATACTTACCACGATCAAGTCGAATGGTACGATCCTGGACTATTACTATCTTTATCCTACTACTCACACTCTTCTGGCTTGTTCCTGTTGCTGGATTAGCCGGACTGCTCAATATTTGCTCCATCCGCCAAGTCTGGAAAGGCCTCGCAGACACTTTGGAAAGTCATCCAATTCTATCCGCCTTGGTTAAGACTGGTCTACCAACCCTTGTTGTTTCGCTCCTCAATGTTGCGGTTCCATACCTTTACGATTACATGGCGAACATGCAGGGCATGATTTCGCAGGGTGACGTTGAGCTTTCTGTGATATCCAAAAACTTTTACTTCACTTTCTTCAATGTCTTCCTCGTCTTCACCGTTTTTGGAACTGCCAGTAAATTCTGGCCTGTTTTACAAGAGTCGTTCCGAGACACGACGGTCATCGCATTCAAGCTAGCAGAGTCGGTCAATTCCCTAGGTTTCTTCTACATAAATTTCATCCTACTTCAGAGTGTCGGACTGTTCCCATTCAGACTGCTAGAATTTGGTACCATGACGCTTTATCCCATCATGCTGATGATGTCGAAGACGCCGAGGGACTACGCGGAGCTTGTTCAGCCACCCATATTCAAATACGGATTCTACTTGCCTTCCGCTATACTCGTCTGGATACTCTGTATGGTTTACAGTGTCTTACCTGCAGGTTACATGGTGCTCTTTGTAGGCCTGATCTACTTCGTGTTCGGCTATTATACCTACAAATATCAATTGCTTTATGCCATGGATCATCCTCAGCACGCTACAGGAAAGGCATGGCCGATGATTTGCTACCGCCTCCTTGTTGGGCTTGGGGTGTTTCAACTCGTAATGGCTGGTGTAATTGCACTGAATAAGGCGTTCTATCCAGCTGCACTGGTAGTGCCATTGATACCATTCACGATCTGGTACAGCTACTACTTTGGACGCACCTATGAACCTTTGACCAAATTCATTGCGTTGAGGAGTATCCGAAGAGAACCCCACGCAGATGTTAACATAGCCGATGAATACGTCGGGATGCATACCCCACCCGGAAATGTTCGTCGCCATAGCACAACCCTTGATGAGGATCGAGAAAAGGGCTTGAAATTCATAAACCCAAGCTTGACCGCCCCGTATGCTCCCATCTCAGTATTCGATGATATGACTGCTAATAAACTATAGCCTTGAAAAGATTTGGATCAATAAAGGATCTGAGTCGAATGGGGAGGCGTCAGAACTCGATAGACAAGAGAGCGCAGCGAGCTCTGTGAGTTTAGGCGATACTCATATCTGGCGAGATAACGGAGAAGAAAATGTATGATACCCGTCCTGAAAATTTGATACCCAGCAACATTGTAGGAGTTGGCGGGAGCTTTGCACCGCGAACCTGGTTGGTCGCTCTTACCTGGAACTCTTTGAACTCCAAACTTTGCAATAACAATATACCTAATGATTGTTCCTTCCCCGAATTTTCACATCTTGGCATCTGCTCACACCCGATGTTCTTTTTCTTCACATCCCTACTTCATTCCCTCACCAATATCAATATCCTTTATTTCGCAGGTACCCTAGTCACTGCAAGACGGCTTCAGTTCTAGTCTGATTCCCAACACCCTTGTAGTTTATCCTATTCTTATGAGAGACTGTCCTGGTTATTCCCATTGTTTGTTATCACTCGACTCTCATAAGTGACATAGCCTCTTCTCAAGAGGCTGCCGGCACAACGTCTTCGCAGATCTTCTTATCAAAGGGCGTCGCAGGACACGATTACGAATGTGCAAGCCGGAATACAAACACCTCCTCATATGTAACATTAGTCTTCGAGTCAAACTCTAGGCACGTCATGACTTTGGGAAACGCCGCTGAGTGCACCGTCGTCCTTCTTAGCTCAGAAGATGATTCGCGGCCCCTAGAGGAAACGTCTGCTGAAGGTTTGCTCTTCCAATTATGCAAGAGGTGGACACTGACGATTGCAGGTCTACAAAATGTCGTTCCGGCTGATGGCTTTGAGGTCAGCGACGAAACCGCCTCGAACCAGAGTCTCGAGAGCTCAAATCCCACATCGCCATCCTCAATCGACCCCCCTACTATTTCTATGGGCATAACCGGGACGATACCAGTTGCTGAGCCTGGATCAATCTTTTCATCAACAGACTCCAGCGCGGTCAAATTCGTCGGCAAAGGCAAAGGGATAGAACCCCAGCGTGGAAGGACCTTGGAGAGGCATCCGAGACCTGTGAACCCTCTGGCTGGAGCGGAGTCTCGAATTCGAAAGCACCATGCAGCCATTGAAGTTGATACTGTTCCTATGAGCAAGCGAATCAAGCGCAGCAGTACCTTCCACGATGACCCTTTAGATCCTTGTGCGATACTAGATGATAATTTACTTGAACCGTGCCCACATGCTCGGCTTTGCACCACGGTATCAGAAGTACTTGATGCACCATTACTCGCCACTGTTTTCAGCGACCGTCAGCCGTTTTATCCAGCACCAACTTTCCTTCCGGAAATCTTCCATCCCGATATCAGCCACCTTGAATACTTGACTATCAAATCCTCTTCTCAAATATGGGCTACATCCCGGAATGGCTCTTTGAACCAGGAGCCTGAGTCAGCTTCATTGGCATCTCAGCTTCCTACTGAGATTATTAATGAGATATTTTGTCATCTCAATCTTGCAAATTTCAATTCTGCTAGGCGGATTTGCAGGTCATGGTTGATTGCCAGCTTGGATCAGTCGATGCTAAAAATGATGCTAAAGCGTGGCGGCTTTTCCCGTACAGTCCATTACAACACGACCGCGAACATCGCAGTTGATTCCGAAGCGGAAATCAACGATGAATGGGTAATGAGTAAGCGCGTTGCTCGAGAATGCGCTCTCGGGCCAGATTGGACGGGCAATGGGCTATCTCGTGAGGCAAACGTGTCAAACACGCACGATAATTCAGCGTTCGGGCATATATCTACGATAGACTTCACAGATGTTGCCGTTCACTGCCCCACCACAAATACAAGTGGGACGACGTTCACCGTCAGTTGTTGCGGGAAGTTTGTGATGGCAGCCAATGGATGTTTAGTATATATCTATGAGCTGAATAAACAGCACGCGTCCACAGAACAAAGCCATGACATTCATCCGGGGTCTCTACGTCCTGTTACAAGTATAATCTGTCCCCGTCGAGTATTAGCTTGCAGCATGGACACCTCTTCACACCGCTATGCTATAGCTATTCTTCTTGACGACCGCATGGGCCTGGTATGCGACATAACAGCTCTAAACAAACCAACTATTCCGCATAGCAATACTCAAGATGATCCCAAGAGTCGCCACCGAACATCTCCTGGGGTAAATACCACTACCTATGTTTCAAATGCTGATAGTTCCGGAGGAACTTCATACCTGAACCGCATCCAATTGAATGGTTCTGGTACAAATTCTATGACTAGTCGCCGGTCAAGCAACCTGCCGTTTGTGTCACCAGGAATCGCAGTAACTAGACGAGTCTCTCCAATGGACGAGTCTGCCTGGCAAGATGTGTTCCGCGGTGATACGCCTGAATATAAAAGTACCACGGGACCGAGTCCACGGCACTTCTCGCTGCCCCGTGGAGATGTACCCCGGCCTGCTGGAAGGGTACAGAACATCCCAAAGCCTGACCAACAACATGAACCTCTACGCGGAGGCATGCCCATTGAAACAGGCCCTCGATCTCTATATCGCAATCTCTGCTCTGATGATGACCCTCCTCGATCGGTGGCGATATGTCCACAACGCCGTTGTGTTACATTTGGTTGTTCCTCTGGAATTGAGCTGCACTGGGTTGACGCTTTGACAGGTCAAGATCTACACAGATGGTTCCCATTGACTGCTCCAAGCGACTTCTTATTCTTTTTACCAACACGGAGAAGCATTGATTCTGCGAAAAAGCTGCGGCTTATAAGCAGCACAGCAAAACCTAGTGAACGACCAGCGATTCGAGAAAGAGCCTTTGGGGGTGGAGCTCAAAGCAGTCCTTTCTGGAGCCGCGCTGGGGGGCGTTCCAATACTCTTGATTCAGGTCTTGCATACGAAAATGGTGATCTCCTAACAAGCACAAGAAGCGACAGTCCTTTCACTCGATCACGCACTGGGTGGCTCGATTTTTCAGATCATTATCGAGCGGTTCCTCTGAGTGATGGTTACCATATACTATTCACTGATCCTGCTACAGACCTCTTATGCATGGGAACCGATGCCCCTGTTGGCGGCCCGACTAAATTACTGCGTAAGATTTGGTTCGAAGGCCCCGAAGGACAAGGTAGCCCCAACGTGTATGCATGTGGGTCGGATCTTAGGTTGGGAGTTAGAGTTGTTGCGGCTTTTGGGTCTGGCGACGAGCAAAGCATTTGGTTTTTTTCAGTTCCGGGCGACATTTTCGTCGCAGATCAAGTTCGTAATCTCTCTAATGGTCCCTCGTGGTCAGTCAGTCCTGCAACGACGCCCAAACATATGGAATGGCTACAGTGGTGGCCAGATGATGGAACTCAAGAGTTCTTGAACCGAAATCAAGATCCAGTGGCGGGTATTCATCCTCGCAGCGCTTGGCCTGTTAAAATCAAAGGGCAAGAGATTGGCCGATGCCAAGGTGTTGTTGACCTGGCTATTGATTCTGGTGCTCATATGATTATTTGGGCGTTCAGCAAGCAAGGTTTTGCGAAAGTTTGGAAGATTAATACTGGCGAAGAAGGTAGCATTAGATCACTGTCTGTAGTTCGAGACGGCACTATTCGTGAAAACGACGAGGACGGCGATGTCGAGATGGTTGATGCGCCATCATCAGGTTCTCCAAAGCCATTACTGGAATCTTTCGATGGCACCACATCTTCCACCCCTCCGGATGTCACTTCCCCCGGGTCAGAGCAGGACGGAATTGACTGGAATCACCACAGCGGCTATCACGATCCTGATGGGGACGTGTTAATGGAAGATTTGTTAGTCCCAGAAGATGCTTCAGATGAGCAGTCGCAACTTTCTTCCAGTCAAATCGCAAGGGCAGGAATTTGGGGTGAGATTCAGTATACTTCCCGTACCTGGATTAGAAGACGGGAACATGGGATTGATTTTATTGAGGAGTTGACGGGTGTTGCGAGGATGGAGATTGAGATTCGATGAGGATACGAAGGAAGTAGCTGTGAGGTAGGAATGGGTAGACTGAGATAGATAGAAGTGCAGACTTGCAATTAACCTATAGAATGAATGTTTCTCTTACTTGATGTCGGTGGCGCTCTATCACAACTGTATTTTCAAGAGCCGTCGCCGTCCTACCCTGATGTTTGCCACAATCGTTGTTCCCACTATCTGATCTCCCATCATCCACCTCCTTATAGCGACGATCTACAAACCCCCCACCCCACCTGACGAGTATCCGTCAGCCTTGCGAACGAGGCTGTCGCTGTCCTAGTTCTACCCCCATGACCCCCGCTCTGAGCAGCATTGACCCCTGCAACCGCGCCATCTCTTCAACACCAAGCCTCACCCCAGTTCGCCGTCTTGCCCAACCAACCCAACCGCCCGATCCAATTGCCCAACCATGAAGCGAAGGCCATATATTGTGCATGTCAGCCACGTATCCTTTATTCCCTTTCTGTGTTATGGTATGGCATGCTTCAAGTAAGTCTACGTCCGGTAATTGATTGATGTGTTGCGAGTGAGAGGCAAAAAGGGAAAGGCAAAGGGAAAAGTTGGCAGCCGGTTAATTCACGAAAGTGGGAGGTTGGAGGATTGCCGGGAGGACAGGAAGAGTAGGAAGGATATAAAGATAGCAGCGCGCGCATTGTATCGGATCTCATCACGCCACGACCTGGAATCGTACGGAGTACAGGAACAACCGGTACCTCTCTTACTGAAAACTTTCTTTGCATGATAAAGAAGGGAGGAAGGAAAGAAAGATGTGTTTATTCAGCAGTACGTTTCATTCATCCCCTCCCTATCCTATCCTATCTTATCCTGTCCTGTCCTCCGCTTTACGATGCGATGAAATGAGATGAGTACTAATTAAGTGAACAAAAACAGGACGGCCAAACTGGGAAGATGACGTTGTATTTGCGAATCGACACCGCAAGCACCAGCCCCAGCACCAGCGAGCCTCAAGATCTAGAACGGAATTCGTAGAAACGTCAAAAGTTGTTACCAGACAATCACAACCACGCTCCTTACGTCCATCCGTCGAATACGTCCCCGCGCCCTCTCCCTCTCCCTCTCCCTCTCCTTCTCCACCACCACCTCCTCCGCCTCCTTTAATCATCAAATCCGCACCAGCACGCGCACCCAGCCCCCCCGAAACAATCGCACTGGTTCGCGTAGAAGAAGAGCGCAGGTCGAGGGGCGGTGACAGCGATGACGGTGGTGGCACGAGCGTGAGTCGGCGCAGTAGAGGGACGGGCAGCAAAAGTGGCGGTGGGGGTGGGGATGAGGAGGTTTATATTGAGCGGGAGAGGATTCGGGAGCGCATGGCTCCACCTCCAGCGCCGTATGCTCCGCAGCAGGAATACGATACCTATCGGTATGTGCCACCGCCGCCACGGGAGAGGGAGAGGGATGAGAGTATAGATCGTAGAAGGAGCAGGAGCATTACGTACGAGACGAATCCGAGGACTAGTGGGCGGGTTGTTGAGAGGGAGCGTGTCGTGGTTGAGGATGGGGGGAGGAGAAGGGAGTATTATCGTAGGCCTTGAGTGAGAGATGGGGTGGTGGTGTGAAAGGGGGATTTTTTTGGTGGGGGGAGGTACGAGGGGGGAAGATATATGATATTGTGAGTGGTGTTGGATGTTTGAAAGAATGGAAAGGGCGTTGTTGGATACTCTGCTTTTTGAGCGCGTATAATCGATCGATCGAGCTATTTCCATCTCAACTAATAATACAACTTACCCCTTCCTTTCACACGGAATCCTCTCTTTCTTTGCTCTTCCGCTTCCCCTCTTCGCAGACTGAAACTCGTCGGACCAATGTCCATCCCTCCTTCATCATTATCCCAAATTCTAACAAATACTCATTTGTTTTTTCAAGCTTCAAGTCTGCATGGCATTATCAATTTTCTGAGTTTACATCCATCCTCTAATTCTTCCTTCTTTTTCCAGCATATAAACACTCTTGACTTGAACCACATAAAACCAATTCTCAAATTCTTAAATACTCCAACTCCTCCGGCCCATAGTAGGAGCTAAACCCAAAACATCCTGCGACCCTTCCCTTCAGCAATGGAATGGATTGGATTGGATAACCCGGAATGAAATGAAAGCTCGTTCTTAGGTAGAAGCGGGTAGTATATATTATTTGTGTTTTCATTTCTCATCGAACGGGTTAGCGGAATGATCTTTGCGATACAAGCCATGTTCATGGCTGGCTGGGAATAGGTAAGCACTTAGAAGGGCTACTTGTATCTTAGCTCGGGAATGAATATCATGTTTTATTGAAACTACCTAGCAAGTGGAAAGTTCGGTGGCTTTTGCTTTTGCTGTCAAGAATGGAATGGAATCTCGGAGCTGGAGGAGAGAAAAATGATGGATTTCAATCTAGTGAGTGCTAGAATTTCCTGCAAAGTAAAGATAGACTAGACTTGAGAATTTATAAAAGTCGTTATGTTATGTTAAAGTGGAATATTAAAAGTAGATGATAGTGAATGCCGCTTTCTATGTCCAGCAAGAGCCTGGGTATATGGTATGGAATTTCTTCACTTGTTTTTCAAGTAATGGTTTAACTCACTTTCCTTAGCCTAAGTTTCCTACACATGCTTTCTTCAATATAGTTTATTGTAACGGCTTGTAGTGTCTCAGCTGGCCCTAATATTATCCTGGCATATATAGGGCTCAGTGAAGGATATTTGGCAATTCCAACTTTATTTGCTTCACTCTTGATACATAGTTACAAGATCCCTCTGCCAATTCCCATCCAAATTTCCAACCAGTCCATCATGCCACCAAAGATATCCCCATCTTAGACACGACTCAATGAAGCAACTAATGTTCCATCTCATCAACAGAACAAACAGTCAAAGCACCAAACTTCTCAGCAAGATCAGCCTCCGGCCCTTCCCTAACATCCTCCTGGAGATAATAGCCTCCTTAACGTCCCTCAACACCCCTTCCAAGAGCGAAAATCTTACAACCGCCCTCACAAACACAGAGTGATCTCGCTGTACCGAATCCAAAAGACGAGCCAAAATTGCCTTCTCTTCCTCGAAATAGGCTCTCAAGCCATGGACGTCGTGGCAGCCGAAGTCTGCTATCATTCCCTGCACACGTTGCATTGTTTGGAACGAAACCGGGTTTTGCTTGATCATGTGCTCGATGGATTGGAATTTTGACTTGATCCGGATGATGCATTGGGCGCTTTGAGAGATGGTGACTTCTCTTCTGCTGCGCAAGCGGGTGCCATTTCGAGGTCTCATTTTGGTGGCTTTCTGCTCTAAGGTTGAGGTGTTGAATTGATGAAATTTAGGAGGAGACAAGCTCTGGTTGTTTTCTCTGATTTGTGTCTTTTTCTTTGATGAGATTTGAGCAGAGTATTTCTGAATAGTCTTGAGGGAACATTGCACCTATAGGTGTGCAGATGGTCGGGCGTTATGATGATATGGACTGATTAGTTTAGATGGAACTATCATATCTGGAACCTAACGGGAACTTAATCACTAGACCGTTCTGTCATTGCTGTCTAATAGCAAATTTACGGTACTAATAGAGGCTTACACACTTACTAGTACAAGAGTAGGCGATCTTCTACTTTTTGCAGTTTACCGAAATGGTTATTCAGGTACCTCTGGCTCAGGAACCGCGGATAACTTTAATTCTTACTTCTTAGGACTTGAAAGACAGATTGATGGTGATTTTATTCTCTGTACAAGCTCAATTGACCCGTTATATACAGTTTAAACCCTATTCCCCGTTCCATTACCAAGATACAGATGAAGATCTAGCATCTAGAAGTTGGTGGCCATTTGCGGAGTCAACGGAGGATACCACTTATCTGCAACCCTCAACATGCCCATGCTCTCCAACAAATCCTTTTCCTCATCAGTATCAAAGAAACTCTGATCCGGAAACATATAGTCAAATGTAAAAGCCACAGGCCGATATCTTTCGCCGTTCACAGCCTGTACCAGGAAGCTGTCAAAATCCTTCCACAGACCCAAATGACCTTCCGATTTCTTCGGGCCAATGAGACACTTTCTGGCCTTCTTGATCAAAGCGCCGTTATCCCTCATCAACCCCCTCAAGTTCTTGTACTTCTCAAGTGCGATGCCTTTGATCAAGCAACTCCAGTCTTCATGAGCCGCAGTGTCTTCGTCATTGCACTTTAGTATCTCCCAGACCCTAGTGATCATGAATTCGTGTTGTAAGAGGATTTCACACCCCATGCCCCTAATGTCTGGACATTTGCTGGAGATTGGATAATTGGCGGACGCTGAAGAAGTGTTGGTTTCGAGGGGGGTTGGTTGGCTGCCTAGCGAAGCGGCATGAACGTTGATGGTTGCTTCATCGGTATGAGCACTTCTGCGGGAGATTTTGCTGGATCGACACTGGCTTGCGTCTTTGCTGGAGTTTTCAGGCGAATAGACTCTTTTGCGTGAAATGGTCCCTTCCATTGGATAGTGAGCCATCTTGAGGTTGGTCTCGAATGAGAACGTGCTTGAGAAGCAGAACTCGAAAGTGCGCTGCTCGAGAAGTTTGAGTGACAAAGCTGCAGAAAGTTCTGTCTGGGATGTTCTGATGATATGAAATATTCTTCGTGTGGAAGGTATTTGTTAAATACTATTGTAGACAGTCCAGGTCGTAATTCTGAAAGGCTAAGCTTGGGAGCTACCACAAGCTTCGTCCTAGATAATTCGAACAGGCACAACCAATATCTCAATTCTGACGTACTAGGGGTTTGAGCTATTACAAAAATGGTCGTTAGTCACCCCAACGAATAGAGCCCATCTTCAGAACTAGTTTTAGGGTTTCAAAATCTACTGTCGTGGGACAGTTTGCTCTTGAATTAGGCACGTGGGAGATCAAAATTTATCTATCGGAAGTAGCTCTCAAAGTGTGAGATAATCACCGAAAGAATCTAAGCCCTAACCCTCTCTGCTCCTCCATATCACGCTGCCTCTGAGCTTCATAGACCCTAAGATGTTCTCCCAAAGTAGGTGCCACATGTAGCCGACTTTCTACGTCTGCGACTACATCATCAGATGGCTCCAAAAACCTCATTTCCAAGTTAAGAAGTTCTATATCATCTCCATCAATCTCACCAGGATCAATTTCATTCAAAATAGCTCCTGTTACCGCCCTTAGCGTCCTCGCTATATGATCCAAAGCAGGACCCATCCTAAAATGCATCTGCCCATCCGCAATCTCCCGTCTAATCTCAAGGAACTCGCGCTCCACGCCTCGATAATTTGGGTAGCCGAGCGGTTGGAGCACGCGCGTGATCGTACTAACTTGTGAACGGACAAGTGGCTGGATAGCTATGAAGCAGCCATTTATGCGCTGAATCATATGCGGGATCCGAGCTCGGTCTTCTTGAGACATAGGACCTCGTTGTGGCGGCATGTGGTATCGTCGTCGGTCGTCGCGGATTGGTGGTGGTAGGCGGATAGTTATGCGTGGTAGTTCCCAGCGTCCTAGTGATTCTTGTTGGGCGTGGTTATGCAGGGCGCGGTCATGCAATGGCTGCCAGACATGGCTGCCTTGCCGTATTGCGTGGATTTGCTGGCGCATCTCTTCGAATTCAAGCGGCTGTAGCCTTTCTGGGGGACCCGTGTTCGGCATCTTGTCTTTTTTTTTCTGTCTTCGTGGAAGTGGGAAAGGAAACGAGGCAAACGAGCAGATAATTCAAGACTATATATTGATGATATTCTGAGTGCGTCATGGTGAAATATAGTACAGCTAGGTATCAAGAGTCCAGCGCAGCCGTTTTGAAAGGGGGGGCCGATCGTACGGTAGTGTCTTAAGCGAGCCAATGAAACCAAGTCAAAGTGCCAAATTCAGGTTCGAGTTGTAACCGTAGAACGCAACAGTTTATCGCTACTGTGAACCCAGAGAGATGTTAGACAATGAAGAGATTTGGGTTGAAGGTTTACAGATGCAGCGGTGGTGGATTGATAAGACTTAAAATTAAAACTAGTACCCTTCAAAGCGACTCAAACTCGCACTGTAATTCAAATCTCCCGAATCCATCTGCTAGACCCATTAATACTCATACTACCCCCATCTCCTTCCAATAATTTGCTCCTTTCCTGAATGTCAGCATTCCCAACAATTCAGAGTATGGTATCCTCCTCGATTGTCGATCTTAGACTGGTGTTGTCTGAGCTCAAAGAAAGGTCGTCCGTCAGACTTTGATCTCTGGCCTCGCGAGGTATGCCGACAGTGCACCAAGCCCCCTTTACTTTGTCAATACTGTGTGGGAAGGCATTGGTCATGCATGTATTGTAGGCATCCACTCGCGATTTTCTTGCGGAGGCAGAGCGGCCTGCGGAACAGCGCTCCTTCATCATTCCCTCTGATATACAATGCTTTATTGAGTGCGTTGAAGAAAGCTGAGATCGCTTGTTTTTCCCACACGATGCACCCTTCCTTGGAGAAGGCTTCCGGGTAGTTTTCTGGCTCAATGTACTTTTTAGTGTTAGATTGACAGACCTGCGGTTTTTGTACCCGAGTGCGTGAATCCAGAAACCGTGCCCACTGTCAGGTCCTACAACGGTAACAACGCCCCTAGCGTCCAAGCAGCACATACATGTAACAGCCTTCCTCTTTGTATTTATCATGGCAAGGGACACCTCGTCTGGATTCACGAGGGCGATTCGTGCAAAGCGTGTGCCATGTGGTATGTTATGCCGGTGCATAATGTCTGTTCGCTCTGAGCGAGTGAAATCCTCAAAGTATAGGATGCTTCGGATTTTGTAGAGACCGTCGCCAAAGTAATCCTGGATAGCCTTGCCAAGGGGATCATGAGACTTGTTGACGCAAGAATCAAGCTTGCTGCTGAGGTAAATGAGTACTTGAGGCTCGGCAACAGTTGTGGAACTTAGGACTTCAACAGCGCTCTGGGTAGGCATCAGCATTGGTATAATGCAGGTACAGAATGCTCACCTTGACAATGGTTCCGGCGTTTCCATTTTTGACCAGTTTGAGAATGATTTCGTCAAGTTTGGCCTCAATTGACGGGGATGAGGAGCTGCTGGGAATGGATTCTGTTGTGTCGACAGTATCAACTTCCATGAAATCGTTCAATTCCATTGTGAAAAATAGAGCAAGTTGTTGTTTTAAGAATATGTAAAGAGTATGCAAAGTTTGTGGCTTTTCGTACTTGAGGTGAGCACAGGTTAGAAAGAATGATTGAAACCCGTCATCTGGAGGATGTAGTGAAGATGCAGAAGAACGCTCTTGAAAGGAATATGGGGCCTCTAGATAGATAGATTCACTAGAGGGCGCAAATTTCGAACTAGACTTGGGCAATTTGAATCTCGACTGATGGATGTCGAGTCAAATGACAGCGGGAGGAACGGGCCTTCCCGCAACACTATCCAATTTTCTGCCACACTAGTAGGATATGAGGATGGACGTCTGAAGAGGAAAACTGATATCTTTAAGGGTTGGGCGCGCCCTCCTAACATAAGAACCGGCTTCGAAATTGAGTGTAGGATTATTATTTGTGTAGAAGTGCATTCGCTGTCGTGATCAAAATGGACATCTTAGAGCCACTAGGCGAACTTTAATTATGAGTGCCGGGCAAAACACATAGTACGACCACTCAACTGGAGTACGCGGTGTTAAATTTCCTGTCCCAAAGCTAAGCATAAACCCAAGTTATGAACTGGTATATTATTGCTTCAATGTCTCCAGATACGAACTGCTTTGTCCTTCCCACCACTTCCAACCTTCTGGCCATCTGGACTCCAGTCTACAGCATACACTTCATCATTATGACCAGGAAGATCTGTTAACGATGATTAGCTGATGTCTTCTTCAAAAGAGTTGACGCAATATCCGATCTACGAAACAACAAAGACTACTAGATTGTTCAGAAGACTTACCAACAGAGAGTTTGTGAGTTCGCATATCCCAAACCTTGAGAGTGGTATCCTTTGATCCGGTGACCAATAATCTAGAATCTGGACTAAATGCACACTGGTATACTGGCGCTACATGCCCTCTCAAGGTGTTGATGAACTTCCCATCCCGCGCGTTCCAAATCTTCGTGTGATTGTCAAATCCAGAGGATGCAATAAGAAGCCCATCGGGAGAAAAGGTAACATGGTTGACTTGCTTTTGGTGTCCAAGCATGCGTGCAACCGGTTTTGTGCCCTTGGATGGATCCCACAAATACATCGTAAAGTCGTCGCTCGCCGACACGAGGCGCTCAACGACCTCACCTTGAATCGTTGCCGCTTTCAAGAACCTCTCAAGTGCTTTTGCTCTTTTGGCATCTTCTGAATCTGGAATTTGTCCTGTGTGGTCGTGGTACGCTGTTCGGAGTACAAAATCTGTCGATAAAGCAAGATGATTGACCCAATGTGCGTGGGAGTTCAGGGAATGAGCTAAAGTACCATCCTTCGCATTCCATACTTTCACTGTCTTGTCGTGTGAACCAGTATATATGAATCCTGTTCCTCCCCACTTGACACAAGAAACGGAGCCTTTGTGCCCGCTTAGTACTAACTCAATCGTCTGTTGGTTGGTCGACCATACTCTGACTGTTGCATCTTTCGATGCAGAAGCTAGGCGAGGCTCTCCTTGCTTCTGAACATGATATGGCTCCCAAGCTAAACTCGTGACCCACTTCGTATGCCCCTTCATTGGTTTCCCTGCTTCCTTGCCCGTTTTTGGATCCCACATCCGTACAGTATTGTCCATACTTCCAGTCGCAATCCTCGATTCATCAGGAGACCAACTAACTGCAAGAACCCAGCTTGTATGTCCTTTTAGTGTATGTACAGGTGTTCCAGTATCACAGTCCCATATTCTAGCAGTATTGTCGCCAGATCCACTCACCATCCGACTGGAGGTTCTTGGGGAGAATTGAGTTGCAAGAATAGCTTTGCCATGTCCTGGGATTGTGGAAGCACATCTCGAAACTGCTTGAACTTTAAACACTGCTTGTGGTGCCGCAGATATATTTAGGACTTCTTCTGTACTGATCAATCCTGGAGTGATGAGAGTCTTGTATATGTTCGTGGGAAAAGCAGTTGTGGTAATTTCTTTAGTTTTCTTGTCGGGAACGGGCAGAGTGAAGCGATAGGGGATATACTCTGAAGAGTCCTTGGCGTGCGTTAGCATAATGAAGAGGGATTGTCTCGCGGCTGGCCTACATGTTCTTGCAAGGTATTCAGAAGAAGCTCTAGGTTCTTGGGGCTTGCATTTGCGACTGGCACCAGAACCGGACCTGAACCTATTGGCAGCCCCGTAATTTCATCAAAGAACTGTATTCTCAAACTTCCCGCATCACTCGGGATTTCCTCAATATCTTGCTGTTTTCTTGCTCTCTCTGCGGCATCTGTTCTCTGTCTCTTGCTTGGTGGGGGGAGGACGGTCGACATGGCGTCGCTAGTGATTGCAAAGACAAATAACCCAGTCGATTAGAGAGTCTGATATGCGTTTGAAAAAGCGTAGACTTCTCTGTACGGCAAAAAAAGCACAGATGTTCGAGAAACGGGAGTCGTGGTGCAAGGCCGGCCAACTTGGCGAAAATTCTCCAAAATTGTTCAGCCTTGTGGTGGTCCGTGCATCACGGTTGCGCCCCGCACCTAAATGTCTCCCCGCGTCGGCAACTTCTCTTTCTCTCATTATTCCAGTACATCGTACCAGGCCTGGCGACAACTTCACCTGTACCAGATACATGTTATTGTGTCATTGAGAGAAAGCTGTTATGTAACCGCTAATAATTTGATATACCGACTAATCTCTAGATATTAACCCTTCATTTCAACAGTCGACCTCATCTCACATGAATAGAACATGGCTACTCCAAGGCCATCTACATCCCAGAGCTATGCCTCACCTTCCTACCAGAATGGATATACTATTTCAACCTCTCAGGCCTATGGCACTCGTCCAAGTACCGCTCGTCCTGGAACTGCTCGACCAAGTACAGGCCGACGTTCGCGCGCAGGCTCAACAATTGGTGGCGGAGAATCTCAGCAGATCGTCTGTGCCATCAATGAGGGCAGAGGAATCACACCAACCGTCGGTCTCGCATTTGTTAATATCTCTACTGGGGAAGCAGTTCTCAGTCAGATCTGTGACAACCAATTCTACGCGAAGACTCTGAACAAGCTCCAGGTCTTCGAGCCTACTGAAATTCTCATCGTTTCCACGGCTGGCCCTCCAAACCTGAAGTCAACGATGTATAAGATTGTCGAAGAAAACATTATCGGAGCAAAAATGGTCCTAGTGGATCGTCGGTATTGGTCAGAGACCTCAGGACTTGAATTCATTTCGCAGCTGGCATTCGCAGAGGACGTGGAAGCAATCAAGGTTGCCATTGGCGGTAGCTATTTTGCTACCTGCTGCTTTGCTGCGGTAGGTAGAAGCCAGCTCTCTCTGGCAGTCGCAGAATTTGGCATGGCTGATACTCATGATAGACTCTAAAGTATATCGAACTCAAGATGTCTCTAACCTTTGCATTCCGTTCTCTTCGCATCAAATTCCAACCCTCAGAAGGCTCTATGATGATTGACCTCTCCACTATCCAATCGCTAGAATTGATCCAGAATATCCACAATCCAAAATCGAAGGAGTCCTTGTTCGGACTAATGAATCAAACTATTACGCCGATGGGTTCCCGGCAGCTTAGGAGCAACATTCTCCAACCGTTAATTCAACCAGAAGTTCTTATTCACCGTTGGGACGCTGTTGAAGAGCTTACATGTAAAGATGATATGTTTTATCAAACAAGACTAGGCTAGTAGCCTTGCGTGAGCCTATTAACTCTTGCTGACTATCTCCGCACAGGTCTGAAGGCCTTTCATGATATTGAGAAGCTCTTGACCAGCGTGAGAATTCTAAAACCACTTGCTTGGAACTTACTTGACCTTACTAGCTGATCATCATCCCTACGCAACCCGACATACGACATTCGGAACAAGCCATCAATAATGTACTCATGCTCAAGACCTTTGTCGAGTCTGCTCTAAAGTTGTATGAAACACTCGCCGGTGCGCGATCAGAGCTTATTCTTGAGATACGAGGCCATATGTGTCCCGAAAACATTAATCCCACGATCCAGCTTATCGCAGAAGTCATCAATGATGATGTGACATACCAAAAGGCTCCTCTGGACTTACGAAATCAGAGGACTTACGCTGTCAAGGTAATCGAGCTAGACAGCCATTTTCAAGCATTTTCCCACAAGCACTGACAACGCCATAGACTGGGGTAAGTGGCCTTCTCGACGTCGCGCGGGATACTTTCAGAGAAGCCACTCAAGATGTGCACCAACATGTCACGGAAATCAATGGTAAGCAGGGCGCATTTGAAGCAGGTTGAAATACTAATTTAGAGACAAGAAACCTATGGGATGCAAGTAGATACAAGATATGACAACGCACGGCGATACTACCTACGAGTTTTCGAATCAGACTTCAATGGACAAGCACTTCCAGATATCCTAATTAACCAATATCGCAAAAAGGGCTTCATCGAATGCCAGACACTGGATCTTATGAAGCTGAATCAGAAGATTGAAGACTCGCACCAAGAGGTTGTCCTGATGAGTGACAAAACTGTCCAGGAGTTACTCGACAATATTCGTGGGGAGATTCCGAACCTTTTCAAAGTCTGCGAGAGCATTGCAATGCTAGACATGATTGCTGCGTTTGCGCACCTAGCCACAACAAGTGATTACTGCAAGCCAGAGATCAGCGACTGCATAGTTATCCAAAGTGGCCGTCATCCAATTAGAGAGAAAGTTGGTCACACATCTTAGGATCGATAAATAGTTTACTGATTTTGTTCGCCGCGTAGGTCCACAAAAATAACAAATTCATTTCCAACGACGTTTATGCAACACAACAGACTCGATTCCAGATCATCACCGGCTGTAATATGAGTGGGAAAAGCACTTATATTAGATCTACTGCGCTCATGTGCGTAATGGCGCAAGTTGGAAGCTTTGTCCCCGCTCAATATGCTTGCTTCCCTATGATTCGCCAACTCTTTGCACGGGTTTCTATGGATGATAGCATTGAAGCTAATGTCTCTACATTTGCTTCCGAGATGAGAGAGACTGCATATATTCTTAGGTACTGCAATCTTTCCATTCCGCAGCGTCTGGTCTCGTTTTGACGATTGTTTGCAGAAACATTGATAAGCACAGTCTAGCTATCATTGATGAGCTTGGCCGAGGGACCAGCACTCGAGATGGCCTTGCAATTGCATTGAGCATCGCAGAAGCATTAGTTGAGAGCAAGGCTTTGGTATGGTTTGCCACACATTTTCGTGAGATTGGTGAGCGCGTAGCCCTGATTGATCATCATAGTCTAATTTTCTGCAGCACAAATCATGAAAGAGCGTCCCGGCGTCATCAATTCCCACCTAGCCGTCGATATGAGCGAAGAAAATACAATGACAATGCTGTACAAGGTCAAGAGCGACTTCGTGAAGGAGGAACACTACGGTCTTGCCTTGGCCCGAGTCGTCGATCTCCCTGCACAGGTCCTCGAAGTTGCAGAGACTGTCTCCAGAGCCCTCGAAGCACAAACCGAAGCAAAGAAACAGTCATCCAAATCGTGTGCCATTGCGAAGAGGAGGAAGGTTGTCTTGAGTCTGAGGGAGGTGCTGCAGCAGGCGGCAGATAGTCCTATGGAGGGAAAGGTCCTTTTGAATTGGTTGAGGAAGTTGCAGGAGGAGTTTGTGCGACGAATGGAGCAGATTGAGAATGATGTTGTGAGCAGCGATGCGGAGGATGCGGAGTCAGAGGAAGAACAGGCGGAAAGTATGGTTACGCCTGATAATGATATTGCTTGAGGTCGATCGATACAACATAGAGCGATGGCTGAGCCACTGAGGTCTGGCAGGTAAAGGTCTTAAATATTGCGTTGTTACATGAAAATTCGCACAAGGGTAGCTTCAAGCATTTGTAATATTAGCTAATAACCATCCATCAATGTATACTAGCTCAATATATCCAGAAATTATTTATAAATGAAACATACTAGCCTCACGCAAACCAAGGAGAAGTAACTTGCACCAGCAATTGTATACCGGTAAACTAAACGCACAGCACGGCGTGCACCGCTAGTGCTAGAAACTACTTTATGTGAAGGTTCTATAATCTACTTCTGCAATCTCTAGGCACTCGAGTTTCTTTGCTACTAGAGAAAGTCGAGATTTTATATTTAAATGTTTTCTCCATGTTTGCGCCATGGTAGACCTGCATTTTCGCAAGTCTCGAGGACACCCTGAACCTTATCTCCGCTTAGTGATACTACCTGTAGGCTAAGATGAGATTTAATCTGTAGCTCGAATTGGGAACTTGAAACTTCTAATAGATATTAATTAGGAAACGGGTCCCAAAAGCTCGTAATGCTCACCCACTACCCAAGATTTTGAATAAGTGACTAGACGACCTAACGGTCTGCATCCCGTTAACTACAATTAGATCCTAGTAACGCTTTGAAAGTCTGTTAGCTTAGCACAAACCACAGGAACCACGACTAACAGCTATATGTTATTGGAGTACCTGGGTTCACCGGACCTAATTTAGCGCTAGTGCCCCCCTTTCTGGGTTAGCCGAGACCACGGAACTGTGATTCTGATCTACTAGTCTCAGTCCCTTTCACAATGACTTATAACCGCGCTACTTTCTGATTATAGAGGTAGGTATCCTGGCACTACTTTGGTCTCTCGCACTTCTTCTTACATCACTAGATTCAGTCCAGATCATCAGAAGTCTTACTATATATATCCACACTGAGACCTTTTTCATCTCCCTATAACATCCAACCCAGAGTCCTGTAAGAACTTCGCAGATTTTAAACAACTCTGCGATCACTGCAATCACTTCAATCACTGTGGTCACCACAAGTACGCCAACATACCTCACATCCTCATCAGCCCGACACCATGGAATCACCAACCACAGCCACAACATATACTCGTATGTTATGTGGATCCAAGCGCGAATACTCCAAACTCATCGAATGCCACCACGCCATCATCCAATCAATCCGATGGAGGTTTAGAGATCTTAGCCTCGCGAATATCACCCTGCACCACCATACTCTCATCCAAGGCGAATTCGCGCGAAGAGGAATAAACTTCATCGACAACTGGGAAGATATGTTAGACAATATTTTGGCTTGTTTCAGGTACATGCACACACTGCCTGGGAAGTTCTTGATCTTGGACCATAACTTGCGAACTCTGGGAGATATGATGGATTTGTTGGATGCGGCTCTTGAGATTGGTCAGCTGTCCAAGTTCAACATAGACGAACAAGCAGAGGCGACAGACGATGACCAGGAAGGCTTGGAATTTTCACCAGGAGCTGAAGCCTTGAATGATACAGATGCTGGTGCAGATGCAGATGATGAGTGGGAGTCGGAATCTTGTGGAAGTTGCTGTTCAGATCTGATGACATTCGAATCGGATACCGAGAGTGAAGAGGAAGGGTTTCACTTTGCTTTGCACTGTCGCTCTTCAAGCCTGTCATCATCCGACTCGGATACAGATAGTGAAGAGGGAGATTATCTCCAGAGCCTGGACGATGACAGTGAGATGGTGCAATCATTGTTATTAGAAGAGGCAGGTGGTCTCCCTAGTTGGATATATTAGAGATTGAACCACACTATGCAATTGTTGTATATTCACCACAGTCCCTGGTGGGAAGCAGTTTTGGGTCGCAAAGATGTATGAGGGGAGGCGGGAGGGCGGATAGGGAAACGTTGTATTTTGAAGCGAAGAATTATCCGAGGAAAAGGGTGATGGAGGATATGGCCATGTATGATCGGGAAAGGGAGAAGAAGTTCTTTGTTACTAGCAGCAGGGAAAAGATATTACTATGCAGTGAGGACTTCATGGAAATGAAGGGAAATAGGAGGGAGAGGCTTGAAATAGCGGGAAGGAGAGAGAATGGACCTGTTTTGTTTTTGTTATTTGGTATCTCTAATTCCTAATAAGTTAGAATCGCTACATTTCTACTTGATCCCTATAATAAAGATAAATGTTAACCTATTCTATTGCTAGTTAGCACAGTACAAGTCAGCCTGCGGGTTCGAAAATCCACGACGCCCACTAATTACCACTCCGCCTCCCTCTCCTCCCCTCTCTTATTATCCGACATAACGTCACATCAAACCACAAAACACAACGAGCTTTCACAGTACAGTACTCACCATTAAAACAATTATAGACACCCCTGCATTCATTATCATCTATAGAGCCCCCTTCCATCCACATCCACATCCACTTTCCCAACCCACTTCACTTCACATCAATAATTGTTTCCAAGTTCCAACTCTCTCTCTCCCTCATCCCTCTCAAATACAACTATAAACGCCATATAACGCCATCCACCCTCTATCCACCAAATTACCATCGCATCGCATGATTTCGCACCAGCCATCCATAAGAAAACCCTCCCCATACCAGACCAGAGCATAATCAATTGCTGAATCCATCTTGCCATCCATCCATGCATTCGACCGTTCATCCATTCGTGTGTATAAAAAAAAGCCAAAGCTAAAGCCAAGTCGAAAAGAGTCTATTTGTTTCCGAATAAAAATGAACAAGTTTACCTTTCGGCATCCATCAATCCAGACCCCATTCCATCCCTCTACTTGATCTCGCAAGCAGCAAATCAAATATATAAGTAAAGGCACACAGGTAAGCCAATAATTAATCAATCACGGGGCATATGCGGAATCAGCATCACGCTGTGCAATCACTTCGCGCGCATAAAATTCTACAAGCATGGTGCCGTAGGCTTCTAGTTCTTCGACGGGGACGGAGAGGCGAAAGTCGTTGAGGAGGAGGAATTGTAGTTCGAGGTGGTTTAGTTCGGGGAGGGGGAGACCACCGACCTGTTTTTGCTTGTGTTAATTCCAATTCTAGATGATAGGTAGAATGAGGGGAGGGGAGAAGGGAAATACCTTTGCATATCTCGAATTGGTATAAAACACATCCGAAAAGAACTTGCTCGCGCACGTGACGCCTGCAATAACCAATCTATGGATATTAAAGCTATCCACGACGAAGAAGTGTGAGAGCGGGAACGAAGGCTTGACGGGGCTGGTTTCCGTATGTGTATATGATCTTTGATCTTCTCCATCTCCACTTCCGCTTGATGAGGAGTCTGCGAGGTCAGAGCCGTCTGCTGAGTAGCCTGTCGAGGGGCGCGAGTTGTCCAAATCCATGGATTCCCGCCGTAATGCTTGCATGGGAGCGGCGTTGACGCGCTCTGTCATGCGGTCAAAGTAGACCAGGAGGGATAGAAATACCTCGTAGGTTGTGGGACAGTATTTATGTATTCGAGATAGGTAGCTGAGGATGGTGATGCTGGGCACGTTTTTTCCATGGAAGGCTAGGACGCTGGATGAAAGGCCGCTTAGGTTTGAGGAAATTTCGCCTGAGGGTATAGGTCGGTTCAAGGTCTCGTGTTGTTGGTCGTTTGTGGTTGTGATTTTGGTGAGAAGCCCCGCTACCATTTCAATGATATCTGTAATTGGCATCCCGCTTATCTCGTATTTCAGTGCCGGGTTGTCTGTTGCTCTCCTCCGTCCAGATTTCCCCCCCAATAAGAAATCCTCGGTGGCAAAACTCTGTATGTGTGCAAGATCTCGCACTTTTATAGTATTCCCCGCATAACCCTTCACATCGTCTAATGAACTCGGTCCTGCAAATTCTACCTCGGGCTTTGCCAGGATAATAGGTGGTTTGTTACTCGCTGCTGCATCTTCCGGATACGGGGATTGTCTGGTCGATGTAGAAGAGTGGGGAAAGTTCTCCTGGCTGGTAAATCTATTTCGCGTGAAAGACCCTGTGTTCGAACTCGAGCTTAACGGTGGCGATGGTGGCGGTTCCGTCTTTATCGTCTCCGTCTCTGCCTCGACCACATTATCACTTGCTTCCTGCTCTACTGCTCTCGAAGGCGTACTCGGCGGAGGCGTGCCCGCTGCTATCGGGACTGGTCGGGGACTACTAGGACGACGCTCGACTCTCGATTGTGAGGTTTGGCGGTATGGGGATGCAGCAGGAGATCGCTCATGGCCAGACCCAGCTCGCATCTTCCGACTGCGATGGTAATGGGATCGCGACGAGTCGGAACCGAAATCGCTGCCGAAATCAGTTATCACGGCGGCCATTCTCAGGCTACAGTGTGCGTGGAGGAGAAGATATGCTGTAGGTTGCAATTATCAGCCTGTGTTTTGTGAAGTTTTGCTTGAAGGCTAGTTGGCAGTGGGACATGGATGCAACGAAATGACGAGGCGATCTGTCGAAATGTAGGAAGGAGGATCTGGGTTGTTGTTGTGGTTCGAGCGGGAACGAAGCTGGAGGTGGGAGGTTTATCAGGACCGCCCAGGCAGGATAGCGACTTTGATTGTCAAGGCTTCGCACAACGCGCAATAAAGCCTCGAAGGCCTTGAGTATTCACTTTGAAGATAGCCATAAAGGGAAGCACGACTGTTGAGCCAAAACGACTCATTTCCTTGCAAAACAAATCACGGCGGTAGAGGTTGAGAGATTGGGTGTGGTGTTCATCACTCGTACTTGCTTTGCACGGGCGACCCCCACGAAAACTTATCCGCACAGCGTTTACAATAAAGACGAGGGAATGGCTTACCTGCAGCATTCCTAGAATTATGGCAGACGTAGAATGTGGTTTCTGGACAGCGTCCTATGCATACGCGTACGCAAGATTCGCGTTGGTGGTCGATATCGCGGCGTTATCTGATGGTTGATGTTTTCGGAGGTTGCAGCCGGGATCAGACGAGAGTTAGGTTCGCCAAAGGGTCCAGCGAAAGACAACTAGATGATAATGGCGCAAGTGCGAGTGCAAGTGCAAGGCAAGGCAAGGCAAGGTAAGGCAAGGCAAGTACGGTGCTATACAGTCCGTACTGTAGTATGACGACCGCTGTGGACCCGCACAGCTTTAGGGGGGCGAATAGGAGGGGAGGCAATGCACAGAAGAATCAACGATCTTCAGAAGAGCAGAGGAGAGGAAGAGGGGATGGGAGGGGAAGAGGCGAATCTGTCAAACACCGACTGCAAGAAGGCGAGAGACGAATATGCAAAGTCAGCACTGTATAAAGTTGCTTTCGAGGACTAGAACAGAAATCATAAACTATTTCTACAAATACCAGTCCCAACCCAACGCCAATATAGCACCCTTGCGCGGATATTTTGCATCTGCATCTGGGCCGTCGTTGGTGGGGGTTCTGCTTAAGCTATCCGCGAGTAGGAGCGAGAGAGGCTGACACGTTGAGGCGGCAGATTCGGACGGAGCCAGAGCATCGGCCTTCCTTCCTCCCAAGCCAAGGTACAAGTAGTTCTTGTATCACCATGGACTTTCTGCAGTCATCCGTTCCAAGAAGTCATCATACAGTACGTCGCAATGGTAGTGCTAAGTCATGGCTATTTTCCTAGAGATCACGACGGAGCCCGGGCACGATATCTCGCTCTCTCCCTAGGCAGTTTTCTTTTTGTCCTCACCGCTGCTACACGCCATATATTCAAAACAGGTGGAAACTTTCTTGACCGCTATATCACAAGCTACAGCCCTGTCGTGGCTGCAATAAGGTTCGGCGCGCCCAACACCATCCCATTTAATGCTCATGCTCATATCTAATTATACATTCGCCTATTGGTGACGGACAGCGTAATCCGTATCTGGCAGATACAAGTGCCTATTTGCCCCCTTCTGAGTCAAAACCACCATACGAATCACTCCTCCCGAGCTGCCATCCCACTTGATAGCCTCTCGTAATGCGCCCTTGACGAATTTGACGGCCGCTTCTTCATCCATTCCCTCTCTCCAGTTGGAGTCGCAGTATCCGTAGATGTATGTTGAGCCTGATCCGCCGATGGCGTATGATTGCTTGTGTAATGATCCCCCCAGGGGTATCGAGTAGACCTGTCCTCCGTGTCGCTCATCCCAACCTGCAATGATCAACCCAGCACTGTCCCTCATCAGCATTGCTACCAAGATATACCCACTCTAGAATCCATACCTCAATCTATCCTTGTTCTCGTAGCACAACTCCTGAAACATCGCCGCCGCTGTCTGGGTCGTGGGTGGTCGGTTGTTGGCTGTGGCATACATTCCCAGCTGGTAATGAACAATATCTGCAACCGCCTGTGTGTCTGCCGCAGAGCCGGATCGACAGCACCAGATGGTGTCGTGGACTTGAGTGAGCTTGTCGGTGACACGGTTGGCAATGTATGCTCCGGTGGTGGTTCTAGAATCGGCGCCTAGTCACTACCATCAGCATCCCTTCCTACATTTTATGCAGCTTCGTAGAGACAAACCTAAAATAACACCGTCTTTGAAGTTGATCGCCATGCTGGGTTCATGTCAGTTCGGTCGAAGATATTGTTGTCCGGTCGAAGCTTACATTGAGGTTCCTAAGCTAGGGAAATGTCAGTAAACTCAGCATAGAAGGATTAGGAAGGTCTTACTTGACTTCGCCCTTCTTGAGGCGGTCCATATCAACATGGATACCATCTGCCAGAGCTCCTGTTAGCTACCGTATGAGGGAATGGAGCTGTTTGGAGACGATGTACCTTCATTCAACATTCCTGACGTTCCAAACTCCATCGTGACTACTTGGGTATCTCAAAGACGTAAAAGAGGAATGCGGGAAAAACCAGTTAGGATTCTGGTTGGCGTGAAGTTGCTTGGGGTTGATTGAGCTTAAGTTGAAGCTCAATACAGGCAGCTTTGACGCGCAGCAACAACCGCGAGGCTGTATGGCTGACTAACCACATCACGTGGTTATCATCATCTTCCTCTCCTGAAATGACAACGACTTAAGGTATGTGACGATGTATATGATAGCACGGCTAGTTAGTTGGACAAGAAATGATGGCCTTGTGGGTTTCATGTATATATATATACTAAAAAGGGGGGTGTATCTATGGTGCTACTTCCTCCAAATCACAAAATTGCTGATTCAAAGGACTGAGAGGCCCCTGAGGAGTCCCTCATTTCAAACTTCCTTTCAACCATGATATCTATCCATAATACAACGCAATAAAATCCTCTAGTGAGGTGGCTTTTCAAACTTATCCCCAAACCAATCCGTCAACGCCACGCTTTTAATCCTAAAGCAGCCTCCCCTACTAATATACAAGCCTTTATACAATAACCATGTCCAATAATCAACCTCCTCTAGTCAACCTGTTCTCAGTCAGTACCCATATCACAATTAAAACCCAATCTGGCAGCACCTACCCCTCTTTCTCATCCAAGACCAACGGTGTAAAAGCATCCTTCTTCTGTACCCCCTTCCCTTTCTTCCCATCCGCCTCATCCTCCGCACACCCACAATCATAAAAATCTCCAATTTTCGAACAATCAAACTCCTTCTTCTTCAACCTCTTATTAACCACATTATGTACATGGCAAGCCCACGCTGCAGCCGTACTCCTCGACGCGACCTGCGGTGGATACTTCTCTAGCACCTTTTGGAAATGCTGCGCGCAGTCGCCGCAGGGGTAGAGGCGCGCGAAGAGGTGGATGTAGGCTTTTAGGGCTGTGCTGTCGTCTGCGCTGGGCTTATCGGGGAATTTGGCCATCATGGTGTGCAGGAGTTTCCACGATGCGTTGCCGAGTTCCGCTCTATTTGCTTCACGTTAGTCGTATACCCGAATTAAATGATAGGAAAAAGACAAAGGGGCGTACTTCAAGGTGGCATTCTCGAGCTTCGGTGCTGTGGCTGCACCTTTTAATAGCCCTTCGTCCAGGTTTACATCTTGTTGGTATTGGTATGAGGGAACGTAATCCGGATGTCGGGTCCCTTGCGCTTGGTTTCTAAATGAAGATACGAAAATGAAGCCTAAAAATGCCGAGACCGCTATGATCATAAACACGGTGATGTTCTGCCTGCGTGGCATTGTGTATACTTTCGAGGTGTACTCCAGATGTGGGCTTCGTGATTACTTTTCGGTGGATTCGATAATTGTAGATCTGCGATGTTTGCTGGTGGAAGAGAGATTGTCGCCACCGCAAAAAAGTGACCACGTCTCAGCAAGGAACTTTGTTCAATTTCATTATTGTTGTCGATTCGTTGTCGTTGTTCAAAATGGCCTGTTGACTAGGTAGTCGTTCCATCCCAAGAAGTAAAAGCGGCTGAAAGTAATTTGAACCGTGAGGATTTACCGTAATATGATAATAATCGGCTGATCTGATGTGCCTAAACACTAATTCTAGCCATCTGATTGGGCAAATAGGGTATGCTATGCACTGTTCAGAACAGTTTATTTGAACCCAAACGGAATCAAACTACTTTGCGGCCGCACGGAGTATTCGGAGGCTAGCGGCAAGGTACACTAACGTGCAGAGCCGTTTATCGAATCCCCCGCGCTCCGGTCCCGCACCAAAATTAATTTCTAGTGACTCTCCCCCATACAGTATTTGGATTGTCAGCACGAAGAGTCATTCACACCGCACACCTATACCGCTTCTTCCCCAATTCATCCCAAATCTCTTCTATTTGCACATTCTCTTTACAACCGTCTCTTCAAAATGTCATTCCCTCCACCTCCCGTCAACACCATCAATTGGGACGATATCGGCTTCAAAGTCCGTGAAGGTACCTCCATCCTCTCCCCGCCATTTGGCATTGCACCTCACCAACACCACTAACACCCAATTCCAGTCAACGGCCACATAGAATCCCATTACAGCACCAAAACTGGACAATGGACGACCCCCAAATTCGTCACCGACCCCTACCTCCGCCTCCACGGCATGTCCCCCGCCCTCAACTACGGCCAGCAAGCCTACGAAGGCATGAAAGCATTCCGAACCCCCTCCAACGAAATTACCATATTCCGTCCCAACCGCAACGCATCCCGTCTCCAGCACTCCGCATCGTTCATATCCATCCCACCTGTGCCCGAGAACATATTCCTGGAAGCTGTACACGCGGCTGTGTCTCTGAACGCCGAGTTCGTACCGCCGCATGAGACGGGCGCAGCTATGTATATCCGTCCCTTGATCTTTGGATCTTGCGCGCAATTGGGCTTGAATCCGCCAGAGGAGTACATGTTCTGCGTGTACGTGCTCCCCGTGGGCGTCTACCATGGCGTGCACCCCGTCAAAGCGCTCATCCTCGAGGAATTCGACCGATCAGCCCCAGACGGAACAGGCAGTGCGAAAGTAGGAGGGAATTACGCACCAGTGTTGAGGTGGAGCGAGAAGGCTAGGAATGAGGGCTATGGTATTACGTTGCATTTGGATAGTAAGACGAGGACGGAGATTGATGAATTCTCAACGAGTGGGTTCATTGGGGTCAAGACACAAGGGGGAGAGACGACGTTGGTAGTGCCGGATAGCAAGTGTGTTATTGATAGTGTCACCAGTGACAGCTGTCAAGACATTGCAAAAAGTAAAGGATGGAAAGTTGAGAAGAGATCTGTAAGTTCCCTTTATGTCCGCGTGCTCACAACCACCTAACCGGTTTTGCAGATCAAATACGAAGAACTCCCTGAATTTAGCGAGGTCTTAGCAGCCGGCACAGCCGCAGCGCTTGTTCCCATCAAGTCTATTACGCGCACTTCCCGCAACGAGACGACCTCTTACATCAAGGCCGACTCAGAAGAGCCCGGTCCAGTATGTGTGGAGCTGCTGAGAGTGTTGAAAGGTATTCAGCAGGGCAAGATCGAGGATACATTTGGATGGACCAGCCCAGTTAGCCAGGTGGATGCTACAAAGTACTCTGCTGGCGAGCAGACAAATGGTGTAAATGGTGACAATGTTGATAAGTTGCCGTAAACGACATATGAAATGAAAGCAAAAGTTCACTATACTGCGCGCACCTCATTCGGGACCCAAGGCACATCTTTATCCTTCCTCCCATGCGACCACCCCCATTTCTCATTGAAACTTTCCCCACAACAATCAAATTAACAAAGATACGCCTCGGCTTTCGCATTCATAGTCATAGGATTAGTAAGCTTAAGCTTGTCTTCTCCCCGTAACATTACATTGCCTCCCTGTCCCATACCTATGCTCGCCTCTATAGGGAGCTTCAATCTCATTGGGCAGTCTGTATACCTCTAGAACTTTTCTACCATGTTTACTATACGTTTCCCGTTTATATCTTTATCCTTTCGGTAGTTGAATTCTGATGTCAAGCTTTATAAGCCTAAATGGGAAGTGGGGCGTTTAAGCGAAAGCCCCTTTTCACCGCTTTGACTGCGAACGGGAAGTTGGATTTTGTGGTTGTAAATTCTTAGAAAAGCCCGACTTACTGAAATTGGGATCATAGGAGACAAATTTATCTTCAAATGTGATATGATTTTCAGGAAGGTCGTATTACAAGCTCAAATCATTTACGAGGCGTGTTGATATTAGAAGCCAAGCAAGATGTTTACACTAATTGCCGTTGAATATGGTGTAATGCTCTATAAATAAGTGATTACCAAGGCTTCAAAAACTGAGATTAGGGAAATGGCTCTTATCCTGGACAACTGAGTAGTATAATCTATCAATATATCTTTACGCACCCGTTTACTGCTTACAATTCCCTTTTGAGGTCTTACAGTTACTCACTTAAGATATGTCACATTCCAATTGCTAGTCACCGACTCTCCTGGTCCTTGGCTTGGTTATCCTGCTTCAATTTCTGCTATCTATTTGATGGCTAACTTCGTTCCACCCACCATCCTTCTCAACAAGAAAGCTGTACCGATCACCATGCAATCGATCTCCCCATTCCAATTCCACTTCCTGGTTCCGAATACGCAGCAAATCTCTCCCGAAGTATGCGATCCCCACAAGTTCACCTCGCTATCGTGAATGGCGGTGGTCTCATCACTTGGAAGATACGTGATCAGGACATAGTCTCGTCGCAAAAGGGTTCTGAGCTTGATACCCACTTCATCGAAGCTGGTCCCTGCGTTTCTTGCTCGTCATACCTCATTTATTTGATGTCGATGGAAATCACAGTTTGAATCGCCGAATTCGCGGAAGTAAACACGAGGAGTCGGTACCTGTTTACCGGGGCCAAGGTTCCGCAGGAGATTGAGGTACCCTTGGAAGATATCGTCGTTCTCCCTGCAAAGCAAGCGCAGGCTATCAGAATACTTCCCAGTAGGTATTCCAGAGTTTTTGCTTTTGTCAAGGTGGTGGACATAGTCGTGAAGTGCCCATTTTCGAATAGGTGAATCTGTGAAGGTATTTCGAAAGGCGTAAGAGACCATTGAGGTTTTTGTCTCTGCCTCCCGGTTATATGCACAGATACTTCGGATTCCGTCCATTGTCCTATTGGCAAGTTCGACCAGGCATATCTTCTCCACAAAGACGTAAAGTTTGAAGAGTCGCTCTAAATGCTTCTGACTATTGATCAGAGATACTTCCCCCCTATAGAGCCAGTGAACAAAGAGTCCAAACGCATCAGAGCTTTCCTCTGGTAGATGCATCACTCCAACTCCCTCCTGAAAGGCGCCTGTGAATCCCTTGGAAAAGTAATCTGCCTTATTACAGATGACTTTCTTATGAACAATGTATTCTTTCTGCTCTTTTCCCACGTAGATTGTGACAAATTCCGTTCCAAGGTTGCTATTTAAACGTATTAGCTGTGATATGCTCTGCGGCAGAAAGACCACGATGACTTACTCTCCGAGTATCTCTGGTTGCGCCATCTTGACGTTTGCAGCTGCTCCACGTTTGGTGTCAGAAGTGTCGCATCATCTTGCGCATCCATCTGCGTCACTCTACAATCCAACCCACCCACTCTGAATCGCTTTTTCCTTCAGTAGTCTCGTCGGCACCTACCCGTCGCCTCTCAACGAGGGGTTTGATTGTTGATGGCCGTCATGACCACTGCGCAACCAGAAGGAGTCAGGATTATCCTAGGATTGAAGACAGTCAGCTTCCGGATTCCTTTTTAAAGTTGACCTGATGGCGGTAAGGTTTGTAGTGAATTTGATATCACGTGGGGCTATATGGCAGATTGCTTTCAGAAGTCAATTCTCTGAACAACACTCAATTTCCTTATTCCTCGACAACGATAAACGACAGATCCTGGGACATCACAAGTGGAATCAAAATGGCCTCAGTGAGTACTCTTCAATAGCATTATGCTATACCTGCTGATTATGAGGAGAGCGTCACCTCAAGCTTTACCAGCGGGTCAACTAGCAGTGGCGCCATCGTCGTTCATCGCAGCAAGCCGACACGCCTCCTTGGAGAGTGAGTTTTATCTGAGTGCCCGATTGTACCATCTCTAACCCGTGATGTTTTAGTGAAATGGGCCTCGAAATGATCGTTATTGTGACTGTCAATGATGGCCAGGTGCGCGCCGTCCTATGAAGCTCCAGAAAGTGAAGCTGACTACGCATTTGTTGAAGGTCGAATTCCATCGCATCCACAAAGCGCTGCTCCTCAACTCCGGCGAGAAGTTCGCGGACCTGATTGAAGATGTTCCACTACCTCAGCTTCACCAACTAAGTGGCGACGTTATCGGTTTACCAGAGATTGGGTCGAAGACTATCAAACACTTCATCAACTATCTCTACACCAAGGCTATTCCAACCCTTGATCCAGTAGACACCCCTGAGGCTAAGATTGATAAGACCAAGGAAATGATTTGCCTGTACGCCTTCGCCGAGGAATATGAAGTGCACACCGACTTCCGCAACAAGATCGCCGACGAAGTTCAAGACAGCTTCCTGGCAATCGAGTCAATCTCCAGATCTGGCATAATCAGTCACATCTATAACGCTACACAGCCAAACTCAAAAATTCGCAGACTCGCTGCCTTCTTCCTCCTCCACCATCTTCGATCCCCGGGGTACACGGACGATCAATCCCTTATCACTTTCTTGGATCAGAACAAAGAGGCACGGGACGACTTTGTCGACGCGGTTAGATTCTTTGAACCTGGTCAGGATCCTCGCATTCGAGACTGTAGCGGCGATGCAAAGTGTTTGGAGTGCTATCATAATCCTCGATATTTAGAGGGAAAGGTTGGAGTGCACCCTTGCCAGTTTCATGTGCACGAGTATATTGGGGACTTTAAGGGTATTAAGTTGAAGGAGATCGATGGGGTACACGTTTATGAGGATGATGGTGACGAAGGTGAGCCGCAGCACGAGCCATGTCATTTGTTTATGCCTTGAATGTCTTGTAATGTGGGGGAGGCTCGGACTGCTGCATCTGTGTCGGTATGGATAGATGATGTAGAATAAGATTCTAGGTTGTCTAGTTGCTAGAACTGTCTCACACACAAGGCTTCTGACATGTATTCCATGATTCCAAGATCCTGTCGTCACAACCATGGCGGTCTCGAGAGCATATGATTTCAGATAATGTACTTCTATGACCTGATAATGAGGAAAAAGTCCACGACCCACGAATTTCTAGATCTGGCAGAGTTCTATTCCCAATCCCTGGACTCGCAGGCATACTTACCTTTTCCTTTACCATGCCCCCCGCGGCCCTGCGCAAGCTCCGGGGCGTTGAACATAGCCGTGCCAGCTAACGCATCTATATACAAGTAGGAATAAACTAAGTGGGAGTAGAAGAAGGCCGCGGGGGAAGGTACCAGCGCTCTAGGGGGTTTGAGGGATGTAAGTTGCGCTTATGAGTAGGGAGAGAGAAAGTATGCTGCAGTGAGTAGGTATGGAAGTGCGATAGCGCCTCACTAGCTCTGGTGGCCTATATGCGAGAGATGACTAAGAACACGTCTAGAAACGCTCCTACCACTGCTACTTTTCTAAGCCAATTAGATACCCTGAATCTTTTTTGATCTACACTTTGTGTTGGTATCACAGGTAACCGATTGAATCACTTCGTACTAGCTAGTAAAAGGTGGTTATGTTTCTGGTTGATGTTGCTTAGCATTCAAAAGTGGAAATTGGAGAAGCGAAGAAGTGATGACCTCTTCGCTGACTAAGCAACGCTAAGTCCTATGACTACAAAGGTCGGGGATACAGCCCTTATCCAACACTTTGTCCTTTTTCACCCCGTAATCGTCCATTTAGCGTCGACACAACATATTTTAGGTCATGCATCAGAGGAGACAGTAGACACTAGCGCTGGAAATACTAGCGCTGGCAATGATATAACTAGTTGGGTATTGTTGCCGTAGCCATCTTCCAGGTAAGAATATTCTGCTACATCCTACTTTTAATTTGCTTTTCAAGTACTAACAAATTGTTGAACCTACAGACTTCGCCAGCTTTGTCGGCCCATTCCATGCCATACGTGGTCAAGAACGAGAGAAGCATTTACGGAGTCACAACTGGGCAAGAAGGCGCCTCGCAGAGTCTTCTGCATTTCACGACTGACCAAGTTTGGAAGATCCGAGGATCAAGCGCAATGAGACAGTGTGACAACTCAACATGAGTTCTTCAACAACTGCCACCTTTGATGCCAAGTAAATCGCTCCACTTCCGGCAATTATTTAGGTTGAATCCGGCTGACTCTGGACACCCAGTGATCTTGGAACCGACATCGTCACCATCCATGTTGGGCCCAATAGAAAAGCGTTTGCTATCCATAAGAACCTTATCTGCAACCGTTCGGCTTTCTTTTCCAAAGCTTTTAATGGCCCTTTTATGGAAGGCGTCGATGGCACAATGCAATTACCGGAAGATGACTCGCAGGCGTTCAGTGCCCTCGTTGTCTGGATGTACCGCGATCAACTCCCTCTTTTTCCCACCGAACAATATAAAGATGACGGTAATGGATGTGACATGTATGTTGAGTCACTTTTACCACTCTTTCATTTAGCAGAAAAGCTGTGTATCAATGCTTTAGCCAATCAAATTATGGACAGGGTTCAAGACGTTCACTTTTTGCACAGCCGCATGTTTGGCGGCTCAGAACTCGAGACCGTCTATGCATATTCCCACGGAGGGAGCAAGATTCGAACTTATGGCGTTCTTATGGTGATTCAAAGAAGTTCTGCAGGCGAGGTCTTCGACGAAGGCCATGCGAATGAAGGCGAAGAGAGTGACGAAGAGCTTCTAGGAGGATTATTAAAGCTGCAAGAATCCCAGCCAGACTTCGGTCGAGACTTCATTACGCTACAGATGAAATATGGAGCCCGCTTTCGGAGAAGATTAAGATACAGATGTGCCGATGTCCAAACTCGCGCGGAGAACAGCTTTGGTCAGTGTTTCTTCCATAACCACGCCAAATCAGAGGTCTGTCACCTTGGGCCAGAGCCTGTGGATGCAAATGGGCCATGAAGCGGATCAGTATATCTCAGTTGAGGTTTAGCATTGTCAGTCCTACTTGTACATCTGTCTGAGCTCGGCTCCAGAAAGTGGGTGACTCTGACAAGATCGGTTCTGGATGATGAAGACTAAGGGTATTAGAGAGGATTTTACTAGTTGTTGAACGGGTGATAGAACTTTGCGATGATGAGTTAGGGTAGTAGATTGCGAGCATATACTTACGAATCTTAGCACTAGACTATTTTCAATTAAATCTGGGTAGAACTCACTTTCACTTCTGAATATATATCACGCGTGAGAGATTTGCAGGAACTATTCTAATGCAAACCAAAATCTATGCTACTTAGGAAGTGGGACAGCTACCCCGCATAACTCTGAAAAATATTCACTAACAAAATAATAGACTCTGTTATACTCGCAGTTTGCTTATCTTCCTTGTCACAAGAGCTTGGTCTAGGGTTAGGCCTATGTGAATCCCACTCGGGATGGAAGATGAAAGCGATTACTTGTATCATAATGTTCAGCTGTGGAAAGGAAATATTACTTTTTTTTTGAGCAACTCTTACTCCGTACGCTAGAAGTATCCATAAACATCAACCTATGGAGTCCCATCAAAGAATGAGCCGTGGTGTAAGACCAATACCGTCTCCAACTGACAAAAAGGTTCCTGGGGATAAAATATATTCCCACTTTTACTACTTTTACCACTTTAGATTCAATGCTAAGTGGTGTTCTTTGGATTCCTTGAGATGAGTCTTTTCCTTGATTAAACTCAAATTCACCACACAACCATATAAGCTAAACCTTCTAGTCTTCTAGCTGTGATTTTCCGTCCCTTCCAAACACCTTCAATACTGGTCTTCGTCAATAACGCAGTCACTTGTCAAGTCACCTCACATCACCACCAAAATACAAATCAAGCCTCACCCCCCATCATATTCCTCATCACCTTGACACCACAGTCTTGGGAACCGCAGCGGTAGAGGGTACGATTTCTTCAACGATAAGGTGAGAATGTTAGATCTCCCAGCATTATTGATGCCCCACTGACTGAAGTAGATTCCTCTCGCCGTCAAAATGGCCACCCCACGCATATTCAATCTCGACTCTGAGTAAATATCCCCATGTCTCTTAAACGAAAGAAAAGGCTGACTGGACGATCCGTAGGAATCTTGGGAGTGAGATCGTCACCATCTACGTCGGTCCAAAACGCAAATCTTTCACAGTTCACAAGAAGCTGCTTTGCGAACGATCGAGCTATTTCCTCAAGGCTTTTGCCAGTGGCTTCAAGGAAGGTGCTGAGGGTGTCATGTATATGAAAGAAGAGCATGTGGATGCTTTTGAGAACCTGGTCAATTGGATCTATAGGGACCAGCTACCGAGCTTTCCTTCCAGGGACTTTCCCGATAGCATTGATGGGTGGGAGAACTTCGGTCAAACTGTCACGGAACCGCTGTTCTTCATGGCCGAAAAGCTTTGCATCGACGAAATTTGCAACAAGATAATGGATGTGTATCAAGATAGCCATCTCAGACTTGGACTTATGCTTGGGAGCGAGGAGATCATGAGGGTCTATGCTAATACGCACGAAAATAGTAAGCTGAGGAAATACTAAACATTGTCGATTATTGCTCATACAGCATACAACAAGATCGCATACTCCAGGTTGTGTAGGGAAATATTAGGAAACATGGCAGATCTGCTCAAGTCAACTCCTGATTTTGCAACGGACTTCACCATACTCCAGCTCACATATGGTTACCGTTTTCGAGAGCGAAAAGAAGCTGATCTTTTCATACGCACCGGCCCGCAAAGCTTTGGGCAGTGCTTCTTCCATACTCACTCGAAAGATGAGGTATGCAATTTGGAGCCAGAAAAGAAGAAAAAGGGAAAAGTTTAGGATAGACCCTCAGCAATGTTGATATGGTAGATTTGATTCTTTGGAAGAGAAGACTGAGTGTATAGTTGTGAGGAGGGAGCAGCAACTTTATCAGGAATGACCAAGATGGCACGGAACATGAATCATATATGAAGCCGACTTTCGGGGTGCAGAAAGGGAATAGTTGAGCTTCTATCAAATACATGTCCTTCATTGAGGGAAATATCACTTGATGTCCTAAATGGTTGTTCCAGAACCCGTGCTGCCAGTTGTGTATACCATCCCTCGCCCAATGCGGTTGATTTGGGGGGTATGTAGCTTCGTCTCTCATTCTAGATCTATACTATAGACTTACAATACTATTGATTTCACCCTCGAGCTCTGCCACTGACACGTGCGGATTGATAATAGTCTTTTCCAAAACTAATTACCATATCCATTCACATTTCTTATACCATCAGCTGCTTGATCAGTAGACATAGAATATCCGTTTTACTTGCATCAGTGAGTGAATCCAAGTTATTGAATATGGGGGCATTCTCAGCACTCCTCTCAGAAACCAACTTCCTCCAAAACACGCACTCCCAAGCGACCAAGTCGATCTATCAGACAAAAACCACATCATCGAAAAGCCTAGCATCTCGTATCTTCACAATTCTGTTGTGGCGTCCTGCTTTTACCAATCTCAAGTTTCTCAACTCTCCCAAGCAGGCGTAGCATCGCACACCTCGCAAGCAGTTCAGCTTCCTTCAACAAGCATTGCAATCGCCACATCTCAAGCTCCTCAGAACACTTCCACGAAAATGCCAGTAGCTTCGTCTCAAGACCCACAGACTCCACCTACAAGCACAAACACCCGGAGCGCTGTTGAATCCATGGCTTTGACTCCGGAGTTAGTCGATTAATTCATATTTTAATTTTCCATTTGAAACTCCCAGAACTGACGTTTTAGGGTCATGGGCCATGAGTTCGTCAAGCTCTTTGTCGGAATCAAACGCAAAGAGTTTACCGTGCACAAAAAGCTCCTTTGCGACAAAACCGACTTCTTCGCAAAGGCTTTCAATGGAAGCTTCCAAGAGGCAGAGAGAGGATAAATGTACCTTCCTGAAGATGATCCGGATACCATTGGCTTGCTAGTGGATTAAGTCGGGACCCCCCCCTTTGGCCCACCCCCACTTTACTCACTGCTAGACTATACCTCCCACTTTATATTCTAATAACTTTGCAACGCTTTTATAAAAACCTTTAAAAATTTAATATAGTCTTCTTAACACTATAAAGCCTTAGTATACTAAATTGGATATTATAGATACTATTAGAACTATATGCCTCCTAGGATTATTACCTCTAGAAGGACACGTAGACCAGATGGGGACATAGTTAGGGAAGTGGGTTAAAGGGGTTATATTAGCTTAAAGGAGGAAAGCTACTATAGAGGTAAAGATAAGGTTATAAGAACCTTATACGCGTCCCCTAGCAGCCGCGTCACCTAATACTATAAGGGCTATATTTCTAATACTCCCCTATAGCTCTTACTATAGCATCTCCTTCTATTTCCCTTCTCCCACTTTTCTAAAATAAAAGCAACTACTAACTACTAATCTATTATAACTCCTAGCTGCTCTAAGAATCCTCTAAATGCAACTTAACTAAGGGGTTTAGTAAAACTATCTATAGGTATCTCTAATATTAGTAAGTATAAGACCTTTATCTTCTCTTTTTTAACTAGATCTTAGATATAGTAGTAGCATATATTAATATGCTTTAATTATTTATAAAGGTAGAAATTCTAGACTAAGGCTAGGGCGCTTTAGTTATCCCTATATATATTAACTGCTTTACTATTACTTCTAATATACTCTAGTATTCTTAAGTCTCTAAAGATCTGCGCTATCTACTAACTCTATATAGCATATATTACTTAAGTAATATACTCTAATTTACAGCTTAACTTAGCTACTAATCTTTACTTCTTTAATATCTAAGAGAATAGTCCTTTATAAAAGACCCTAACTCCTCTAGAAACACTTTTCTAATTAGACTTATTACTTGCCTAATTAGTATCTATAAATATTATAAAGTGATCTATATCTCCCCTAGAACTATAATATAGCTTTTACTTAATAGTTAACTAAAGGTATCTTATTAACTCTTTTAATGCTATTCTATAGTAGATTACTAAATCACTTATATACTATATTAGGCATCTTAAGATAAATGCTATATTAGGTCTAGTAAAGATTATTACATATATTAGACTCCTAATTATCCTCTAATATTAAGTTATATCTATTCTTTTATTATTCTTATTTGCTAGCTAAAGATTATTATAGCTATTAGCTAATATTAGTTTACTTCTATATTTTACTATAGCAATTCTAAAACCTATAAGAACCTTATTAAGATAGTGCTCTTAATTAAAGTAGATAGTTCTATACTTTTAGTTATAAGTAATTCTTATGCCTAGTATCTTAAAAATCTCCTCTAAAGGCTTAGTATTAAACTAGTATAAAAGCATATTAAAAAACTAGTTAATATTATATTACTTTTCTATAGTAGTAGTAATATTATTAATATAAACTAAGAGATACACCTTTTATATATAGTAGATAAAAAGATATAAGTCGGCTAGACTTTATTTAAACCTATATATCTAGATAAGGTAGCTTTATAGCAGGAGATTCTAATCTTATCCTACTTATTTTAGACTATAAAGGCTCTATAGAAGTCTTAAGCATTTCCTAGTTACCACTTTAATGCCTTATAGTAGAGCTATATAGATTGCTTTCTTAAGGCGTAATTCTATAAAAGCATTCTTAATATTAAACTAAGAGTATTATAGGTTACACTTTATAACTATAGCTATAAAGATATAAAGTATATCTATCTAGACTATTAGAGTAAACGTCTTAGTATAGTCTTTTCTATACTCCTAAGTAAAACTATATGCTATAAGTTAAGCCTTAAAGCGCTTAATCTTATTATTAATAGTTTCCTTAATATTAAATACCTATTTTATAGAAACTAAGTTTACTCTTCTAGGAAGTATAAACTTCTTCTAAGTACTATTCTAGATTAGAGTCTTAATCTCTTCCTATATTACTATATCTTATTCTTTTATATACTTACTCTTTATTACTTCCTTATATATATAAGGGATATAAATCCTATATTTAACTAAAGCAGATAGTATAGTTTTAGATAAATAGTTATATATTCTATAAAGTAAGATATAGAATATCTAAAAGATCTTCTCCTTTCTCTTACTCCTACTAGTAGTTAGTAATAAGGTAGTAATAAAGCATTTTTTAATCTTAAGTAATTCCTTTATATCTAGGCAGTTTAATAAATCTAGAAGTAATAATATAACTATAGTATAAACTCTCTTAGCTATCTTTTCTTTACTTTCTTCTTTAGAGTTACTTCTCTTTCTAGTTTAAAAGAAGAAGTAAGGCATTTTAGCTTAATCCTTCTTAAGTTTCTTTTCTATATATTTTACTCTATCCTCTTAAGACTTACTTAAAAGAGGCTTTATATAACCTAAGATAGTCTTAGAAAAGTTACTCTTATAATTAACTTTACTTTCTAAGATAGTCTTAGAAAGGTTACTTCTCTAGTTTTCCGTATTAACTAGGATAGTCTTAGGAAGCTTAACTTCCTTTATAAGGTCTTCTAGAATTAATAGAAGATCTAGTTAGTGCTTAATAAATAGTATTATTACTACTAGCTTTAAGGTTTTCTAGGGTTCCTATTTAATAGGCTTCCTAGCTAGTTAGCCTTATAGTTTATAATTAAGTAGATCTAGGGATATTCCTTATCCTATATGTCACAGGTGAGTCACGTATATACAGAGGCTTAATATAGTATTTAATAAGTTTGATAAAAGAGAGAGAAGAATCTTTATCTAGATCTAAAAAAAAGTAAGCGCTTTCTAGTTAAGGCTTAGTAAGCTAAGTATAGGTATAGCCTATACTTTACCTCTAGGGCTTGCCTCTTATATTACCCCTCTCCCTTTACCTATTTGCAGGCGGTAAATAATCTATTAGAAACTATATAATATAGTAGAGACTATAGTAGTAAATAATCCTAATCTATAGATACTATACTACTATTCCTCTTATAAACTGCCTAGGCTCTACTAGATTTTAGATATAGTCTATTTACTTAGTAAAGCTCTTCTACTTCTTACTTTTGCTATTATCTCTATTTAGTTATACTATTTACTCTATAGTATTATAAATCTATATAGTATTATAAATCTATA